ATATGCCTTACAAGATGTTTTTTAATATAGATTCTACGAACCGCTGGTTAACGACCCACTGATAACACTGATAAAGGGTCAGTCGAATTTAGCTTTACGTTAAGACTGAGCTGGGAGGTGGCAACTAGTGAATTAAGCACAAGAAAGCCTCAGCGTTCCGCCATTTCTATAAGTAATAAACCGGTAACTCCTGATTCGTCGCCAGAGGCTGAGGACAGAATATACTTAGCTCACAAACACGGAACTCTGTCGTTTTTTTTTTATTGAATTAGCTGTTTAGCCAACAACAGTGAGAGACAATAGCGAAAGCTAGTGGTGAAACAAATCTAGACGCCGGCAGAATCCACGCAAACTGCGACGTTTTTTCCACGCTTCGCAAGGGTCTTTTCTTATAAAAAGACTGCCACGAACCTCACTCACTTACCGATGCTACAGTGAAGTCTATCACATATGGATCTGCTCGCCTCATCTTCCGTTACACAATGGTGAAGGCGAAATACATGTCTCAAGATATAAAAAAACCTGGGTAGAGCGACATTGATGTAGCGCTTATATTATTGTTCGCGCTGTTCCAGCTTTGTCTTATCGTATGAATTTGGGCTGACCTTATTCATATTTTGCCTCTGAGCTCATATCAAATTCATATGCCAAGCCTGAGGTGCTGCACTGTGTCGAGTGCCGTGAAGGCAGAGGGGTCCGTTAGATTTCTATTGCTGTTAACTTCTGCCGCTGGCGGGGATGTTTGCTCTCTTTGCACGATTAAGCAGAGCGTCTGCGGTAATGGGTGGCTGTTTCCGTTTCATTGTAGCTGCTCGGGTAATGTCTCTAGGACGGTTTAAGAGAATGATATGGATCCCACTACAATTGCTGTCAAACCGTACGGTAATATACAATCTAATAAAACTATAAAACATCGCATCAAATAATCACTACCAGCATCTCCCTGTTTCAATGCCGGAGATCGTCGGATTCTATCATTAGTTTGGGCGACGCAATCAAAATAAAAAAAAGGTGGTTTGAAGGCTTGACGCGACGAGCGTCATGCACGATTAAGCGCGCCATTTACGGTTGTGTAGTCGTCATATATGTACATATAAAACTATTCAGTTAGACTGGTCACGTTTATCAGCTTAAAGTAGACGTCAATGAAAAGTACGCTTGGCCTGCACTTCTGGCAGGCCTCTCTGAGAATCAGACAACCTCTTTCGTATCTGGAGTGTCATCGGTCCATTTATGTCAATCGATTTCACTGGCATGAAGGCTGAATTACTGCGCGCGTTCCATATAACCCGAACACGATACATGACGTATATGTATTTATAGGCGTTCTTGATTTTGAATTCTACGATCGATATGAGATCGGCGCTAACATAACGTCGCGTTGGGACTCAACATTTATCTATCGATATGAATTATATCTGCGTTATTTAATATGTACAATAAGCATTTTGCCGGCATAATCAGATACCTGCGATAACGTTGTTTTCCTACACACAATATAGACAATATGTTTTTCGTAGAATGAATACTGTATAGTAATTTTTCTCAGGCAGTTTCCATTGAAACTCTGAATTAACAAGCCTTCTTTAATAACTTGTTCCCAAATTGTTGCTTCGGGCAAATGAATACGTACCCATGAGATGGAATAGCTGGCGTTCGCTTAAAACCTCTATATATTACAGTCAGGTTTTTGGCGTCTTGCGTTTCTCCGACTTCCGGATCCGTCTGTAGTTAAAAAGCCGCTATATTGTTCAGTTGTCGTCCTAGCTATCGCATGAAAATCGCGCGATATCAAACAGCGACATTATCGTCGTCCTACGAAATAGAATAATCCCTTCCACGGGAGGCACTTTTGACGCAATCACCACTAGCAAGTCGCTCTACCTTGAGCAACACGTCGTGACTCGAAGGAGTACGCTGACGGGCACCGCATGCTTGCCGTCAGAATCTCGACGTCAACATTATCTGGCTTTTCTATTATTTGATTTTTTATTATTACGCACACGCAGCGATTACCACAGTAGCAAACACCGTTACGAGGGACCGGCACGTACACAACACACAAATGCAAACTCAGAGCACATTCTTCCACCGCTGCCGCCCTACCTCTTAGTCCGCACTCCCTTTCAGTGTCGCGTCAGTCACACTTTGCCCACCTCCAGTGTGCTCCCCCCTTCGACACAACAAAACCCTTCAGCCGCCACAGCGTTAGGACTCCTTCAGCGTCGTGTACTCCTTCACCAAGTACACCACCCAGACCACATTGGGCTCATACTCCAACACACATACTGTAGGTCCATCGACTTAGATTGCCACTGGAAAACATCGATTTCTACTCGGGCTTCGAATTGCACTAGCAAACGAGGTATCTTTACAGTAACTCTATTATTAACCTCTAGTAGTCAGGCGGCATTGCTTAACTGCTTGTGTGCATGTGTGTGGGTGGGTGGGTGGGTGAGTGAGTGAGTGTTGTGCGTCCTGAGCTTCGGAGGCTCTTCACGAGCGCTCACCGTTCTTCGAGAACTTGCTTTTCAGACGCTCTCCAACAAGTCCAGCCAACTGCAGAGAGGTCCAGCGCTCAGCTCTCACCACAGTATTTGGCTGCTGCTTGGAGCGGTCCGGTGGTCTCCGTTTAACGGTTTGTTACGAACGACAGTAGTGCTCCTCGTCAGCGGTGAGATGGCTGTTTGGTGTCCCTGTCAGCTGTAGACTGTAGAGTAACAGGGTGCCCCCTAGTAGAAGGAGGAGGGTAACAGGAGAATAGGAGAGAGAGACAGGATAATGGAGCTAGGCAGACCCACCGGCGAATCAGGAAAGAGTATAGCCATCGTTCACGCCATAAGTGGGAAAGGACACACTCAATGCAAGCAAGCTGGGTCACTCAGGAGAGCAACTAGGACGTATAGAGAGAAAGGGAAATTGAGAGGGTATGAGACGCGCGGCTCTAAGAAGTTGCATACGATTCTTGCTTGTTGGTTGGAACCCATGCTTAGGTAAAACCCAGATCTGTACAAACCCACTTAAGATCATTGGTGCTATCATAGGTGCACGCATCCTATTCAGGTCCTGTCTGCTTGTTTGTAGAGAAAGCGGTACAATATTAGCGCGGGCCTTGTCAGCCATGTGCGTATACGACGCGGGCGCGAAATATCTGGATCATTTTCATGAAACTAACGTCTATAAAACCCGTTTCGAAAATCAAAATGGCGGAAACATAATTCTGCGTTTAGTATCAACCTAACAGATCCGATCTGATCTCCCATGCGGTGAAATTTATTGAGCATTACGCAACAAAGTGTCTGCAGTATAGCACATGGAGATTGAAATTGAAAAGAAATGGCAATGAGCCAGGAACATGGTTGTATTGTTCAATGTCTGTTTCGTTACACAAGCTAAAACTACGAGCCAATCACGACTGTACTAGCTTTCATACAGTTCGATGTATCCGACAATGACGGTTGACGTTCGATTATTCTACGTAAACCTCAATCATTGGATCGGTATTTGATCTTTGCAAACATTGCTTGCCCCATTAGATCACTGCTTGTATTTCGCTTAGTGGCTTATTTTCAGACGAAAAGACCATCATTTAGTACTGGAGCTGCTTCGAAATTCGAAAGCTAGCTTTAGGACCCCTCAGTATGACAGTGAAAGATTCAATATTACGTAGGTATAATTTATAGTTTCATTTTTTCGGCATATTGCAGTTTGGCTATACATTCATGCGTTCAATACCGTTCAGAGTCGGTAGTATTTATTTCCTGGGATTATACTTGGCCAATTTATCATTTTTGTCAAAGCATGGTTCGTATTTCCAGTATCAACATGCCCATCAATTGGGCGCCTGCTTAGCATCGTCCACCATCCAGTTAGCTGATTTCGTTCGAGCTATGAGCGCATAGGTACACTGTACATGTATACATCAGCAAACGTATCGCATGTGAGAGTGGGCACAGCGTTTTGAACGATTATCGCGCCTATGAAAGACTACTCCAATCGATCGTACTACGGCGTGTTACTAGTCTCGCACACTTTTCGGTGATTTGTTCTTTTCTCATAATAGCAGTAACCCTGGTAGCTGTAATTTTGCATCAACGATAATTATAGATAATTGCTATCAGAATAGATGGAGTACGAGTGGTCCCTCTTCATTTGATCATCTTCGACCAATCATCTCTCTGCATGTACGTACTGTATCTTCAACATGCGTGCACAATTAGATTTGAGATCGCTAATTTTCTCACTGTACTGCTTCATACATGCAAGGTATAGCGGACGAATCTTGTCTAGGTCTGTCCCGTGTTTAAAAGTTGATGATGTCTACATACTCGTAGTTACATGCCGCTATAAAATCCATTATTATACCATTAGACGCCTAAGGCGGCTGTATTAGACAACGGTACGAATTGAAAGATGTAATGCACATAAACGCGTAAGCATATCGACATCAACCGTTGGGTTAGTGATTCTGGGCGATGTGGGTATGATATGCGATGGGTAAATAATGAGGCATCAAAGACGGGTAACTAACAAGGATAAAAGTGAGGTTAATGACGATTTATAGCTAAAGATTAGAGCTAAACATTTCATTGAGTAACACATCGAAACACAAACAAGGCACTGTGCTTTTTAAGCGAGGCAGAGTAAGATCATAAGGACACATGGATTTGCCTATATTAGGTCGTAGCAACTATACGGATTGCAACAACTATATGGAAATTCAATGGAATGTGTGCGCAAATTCTACCATTTGCTTATACCTTCGCTTTGTTAGCTCCTACATTAGCAAGGACTATTCCAAAATTTGGATCTAGCCGAATCTTTTTTTAGCCCCACCAAAGTACTGCAAAAATTTCGAAGGCGCAGGTCTTTTCCTCGCAGATTCTGTTATGGTTGTCCCAATGCATTTCATAAGTATTTTATGTGTGGGTTTCGATATAAGCTTAACAAACAGAAACGGTGTACTGGCTACATGTATAAAGGGAGAAAACACTTTACCATAAATATAATGGTATGATTTTTTCGTTTTATTTACGTATAAATATAATGTTGTTTTCGCTTGTCGACCTTTTCCGATCAGTGATAATGTAGACTTTTAGCGAATTTTTTTTTTCGGTCTACTACTGCTCAGTTGAGTCCTTGATCCTTGCGTATCTCCTTGTCAGCGTGCTTCAGGCCAATCCAAGTGTTCATCTGCTCACAGCGTAGCGTTGACCACACGACGTGGTCTCTGAGACCAAGGATCTGAGCTGCCGCGAGGGCGGCGGCTTCAGGAAAAAGAACGGTGGTGCAGCCCAGGCCAGATGGAACCCGCATCGAGCTCCAGATATCCTCAGCGCCCCAGTCGGGCGTCACAGGAGGGCAGTTAATAGTTGGAACATTCACATTTCCGCTAGTTACAGGCCCTAGACCGTTTGAACGACCAGCAACAGCAATGAATACAAGAGGTACGCCAAGTCCTTCATACTCGGCCATAATATTCAAAGCCTGAAAGGTTCAGGAAAATATTAAATTAGTGGTTTGCTTATTTTCTGCTAAAATTAAGGTGGCAATGGTCTTACAGCACAGTACGAGGTTTATACAGAGCAATCATAGATTTTTCAGAGCTAACGTTTCTAAAGTACATTTCATAGGATAGAACAAATCAGTTATGCAAACATTAATCCCTTCTCTATACACAAAATGCGCAAATATGTTAGACTAAAACCACATATATATTATCGAAGGAACAGGTGTTCAAAGGCACCATTCAACTTTACCTAGTAGGGTATCAAAGATACCAGGGGCAATAGACTCCTGTAAATGTATTTACCTGATCGGTGTTCTTGTGAGCAGAAGTGATTCGCATTTCGGTAGGAATCTGATATTTAGCAAGATGCTTCTTGATCTGATCGCAGTGGGCGCGATCGCTTGCCGAGCCCATAAGGATAACTACCTAACGATTAGCAGAGGTATCATAGAGACAACTATTATATCCCGACAAGGCAAATGAGTAAATTAAAAATAGTTGAAGTATGCTATGTGAACATGGCCCGTTGATTTAGGTTAGTTAATGAGAGATTAAAAAAAAATAAGATTCTTTAATCGTATGCCGTAGTTATTAGGAATATTAAATCGACATGTCAACCGACTCTACTTTTCTGCATTAAGTTAACTAAACGTTATTTTCTTCTGCACATACCATGTCCGATGATAATAGTAAGACATTGGAAATTCTACTTTTTCTTTTTGTTTTTGCAAATCGGCCTTCTGCTAGTTAACCAGCTTAAAAAAATACCTACGAAACCCTAGAAAAACGTTGCAACTTACTTGAGAGATAGGCTTTGGAACAAATTTTTTCACCTGTTCCGCGACCCACTTAAAGTTACGTTTGACGCTTTCAAGCGCCTGCGGAGTGACTTCATGCAGATTACGGTACACTTGTTTATCAACCATGAGACGCTTATCTCCGCTAGGCCAAAGCCGCCATGAATCCGAGTCGATCAGGTCAGCGAGGATAAGCTCCTTGGTCTCAATATCCACGCCAAACTCCACCTAGAGACATGTCATGCATACTAGTAATTATCAATTTCAGTATATAGGCTATAAACATTGGAAACTATTCGATTCGTTACGCAACATTATGTATAGAATCTCAGAGCATGTTATTATGCAGTAGCCACAATGTCTACTGCCTTCAACGCAAGATGATGACTCGATCTAAACAAACAAATTCAATAACGTTTCTTACCTTCATGTCAATGAGCGAACAGTCAAGCGACTGCCATCCGCGTTCCAGCACCTCAAATACGGTGCGCGTCATCTTGAGCATAATCTCCACCTACAAAATCTCAAAGGTGGACCTATGACTTGAAAACTCAGGGCTACAAATTCTTAATCGATAATAAATTAGTTTAAATATTTCTTTAAATATGATGATAAGAAACAAACAATTTGTAGGAAATAAATAAAGGTATGCTCTTTTCTGGAAATAAAATATAGGGGCTACAAGTTAAGGTCAGGCAATCAATTGTGCTCGATACAACTACTATGGTATTTAGTCTGATACGGTCAGCCTGAATTAGTTTTCAAAGATATCTATAACTGCGATTTATTCTATCTAGGAAGAGCTATCAAATGCTTCCGTAAGGATTCTATTCATTGTTACACGCTTTGCGTGTAGCATCGCACCCTGTACATATATGAAGTGCTACTACATAGTCGAGAAAATGAGAATTGTACATAACATCCTGGCTGAATTGCCTTTAGGAGCGATCTATCCACCTCATCAGGTCCGATGACAAGTCCGGCACAGGTTAACTTAGCTTCGATCAACTGCTCACTGCTCCATTGAGGATCATGATTTGCGTCGTCCTTGAAAAACGTCTCCAGCTTGGGCGGATTAAATCTGTAACCTTCCTTGACTCCTGGCATACGCTTAAGGAAAGAACCAGTTGCAAGACGCCTGGCAACCCATTCGATAGGAATCATGTCGCATTTTCGTGCAACGAGTGACTTCTCATCATGTTGTCGCACAAAGTGAGTCTTTACTCCGCAACGGTTTAGGTAAGCGAAGATTTGACAGGCTGTTTGATTTGAGATAGCAGCTTTACCTAAAACGAACGTAAACAGGTTATCGTATTTGTCATACTTGTATATTTTTATACACTTAAGTGGTTCTAGTTGATGTAGCTTGCTAATATACACAGCCGACACCTACTGAAAATATAACATTCATAAACAAACGTTAGTAATGAAGACGGTCTGAACGAAACTAAAATCTTCGTACGTTCCCTCTTACCACAAATCGTACCACAAGCAGATATATGTGACAGATAAACGTCATTTGATGGTGAGTGGCTGTCTTATCTCTGAGGTGCAAGTCACGAGAGTGCACAACAAAGTATAGATTACGTTAGAAACGGACCCGCCATGTCGTCAGCGCGAGTACCATCGCCAGCGGTGATGCGATCCTTCGAGATGAGAATGCAGTTTCCAGGCTCATTCGGTAGATCACAAACAATCTTGGTCTTCCCCTCAATTATTTTGGCACCGAGTTTGATACCGCTCACTGGAAAAATATCATCATAACAATGGTTAAGGACCAGTGGGTCAGTTACCACTAAGCTGGCACTGAACAAGAGTTAAAGCTGTTGACTTCGAGATAGAGTACGCATTCGAAATGATGTCCACTCAAACAGATCCGGAGAATAATAATACAGAATAATTGGGCAGGTGAACCGGGTTAGTTAAAAATGAGTGTTCATGTATTTCCTTCTCTATAGTTATATAGAATCATTACTATTAGGGCATTTTATCGAAAGGATGGCTTTTAGCGCAAGTTTGCAGGTCAGTTATTACAAATAAACGTATGGCTCTTGACCATACGTTAATGCCATTGGTCCTGGTGAGCAAGCTTTGAAACTTTCCACTCAATGCTTCTATACTCAAAACATACAACAAGGACATGATCCCGCCTGCCAAGAGAAGAACTTATGCTACAAGATCGTTCAACAAACAAACGGAAACTCCTCCTATCGTCAATCTAATTAGTTTAGACGAAGCAGCCCGTTTACACCAGAGTGTATGGGTTCTTCAGCGTCAAGCCAGCCGACAGCGTAAATAGATTTGAAGCCAGACAGGATACTACGCATACAGGAAGCTTGACTGTTTTAGCATAGACCACTATTTAGTCAGCGTCATGCTGTCCATAGAGATATCGGGATGGATACCACTATTTCTGATAATAACGTTGTTATCACTTCAATGATCCTGTAAAATGGTTCTAATATTGAATCGATTACAATGGTGCTTGCCACCATCGAAGATTTTATAAAGTGTCCTACACGAAGTGGACAATAACACACTATTTTAGTAGTCCGCTTCGTGCATTGGCTTCAAGCGCCAGGACAACGTTTGCTATGCAAATAAGCATACACCGGGCTTGAACCCGGGCTTGCTCTGTTGATGGTATAATACTGACCTTGTTACAAATGCTGAACGGGCAAGGGCCGTTTTAAGATTAGCAGTCTACCGTTGATAAGATCCTTTACGATAAGATAAATACTACAAAGGGGAATGTATCTAATCGTCGGTGACCTCCCTGATAACATCGGTGGATAGCGCTCTGTGAATAGGCGAATGCTGTTTCAAAGCACCTACACTGTCTAATGGTAGTACAAGTTATAAATATAGTCTGTAGTATCTAAATGCTTTGAGCTTCACGCTAGGTATTAGCATTAAGGATTTTTGCTTCAGTGCGTATAACCTATAAAAGGTCACGTCGTCAATTTAGGAGCCTGTTAAAACGCAACACTGAAGACAAATGACACATGGCTAAATATTAAAAGTAACGAGTAGAAATTTATTGCTGCATTGTATTAAGTGGTACCTACAACAGTCCACATCGATGCTAGATAGGGTCAGTAGCAATGAGTTGAGACAATGAATGTCAGAAAGAGTCGCCACAACCGAATACACTTGTCTTAATGATCGAAAATCGAAGATAATTGAGACACCGTCAGTGCGCTGTCATTAATCACTCCCTATAGTATATATATAATCAGTCCCTATGACCAGTTATCAGGCGCATTGCTCATCATATATCTCTGCTTATTTGCCTCGTAACTTGCTAAAGGTCTAAATCCAAAGGCTCCGTTTAATCAGCTTTTATTCAAATGCACGAAATGTACATCTTCTAGGAGTCTTCATCACAGCTTTTTGTACACAAGTACATATAACATCAGGTCCAACACGTAACAGCAGTTACGTAACATCAAAACCTATAAGAATAAACTTACCTGACATATTGGCAAAGCTCTGAGTTTTTGTTCTGAGTACAACACGAACCGTTCGCAACTCCACGAGTTACGCCAAAGACGTATGCTTGAATGTTCGCACGTTGGAACGGGCGGGGGGGGGGGCCTCAGTGAGATGGCGCCGTTCAAGGATAGAATCACATCTAGGCACCCTCGCCCTGAAGGAAGGGATGTGAGCAACGACGTCACAGCCACTGCGCGACAGATTCGTTCCGCTGTGTGCCTCCCTGTGAAAAGGTAAGCCCTTAAGGAAACGATGAGGACATTTCGTCTTACATCAAACAGTATCAGTCTAGATGCATAACAAGCTGATAGGAAAGGTATTGTCTTGCCTCGGTAGATACGTTTGGATGGTTACAGAATTGACAATGCTGCCTATGTTTGCGATTGATGCGAGGTAAAATTCGCGGCCAAATTTGCCCATGGACCAAAATTGGTCATTAAATTCGAAAAACAATTTGGTTTATGTCACTCAGGCGATAGATTTTAAGCACATAAGAAATTATCGTATATTACTCACCGAAGTGTAAACTCCTTGTGAGTACACAACGGCTTCAGAAAGTCATAAATCTTATTATTCAGTTTTCGTTTGCTGTTAAATAAATATTTCTTAAATAGTGCCCAGTTGCGTCATTTTATTGCGATATTTGTAGTGCTTTCAATGACGCTGAGGTGAAGGGTGTAATTTGACAGAGGTTTTGACGGACTTATCGACGAATTAAATAAAAAAACTAGCGCTTTATTTCAGAAATTCTACAGGTATACGGTCTGGCAGTTAGTTCCCTTGCTGGATTGTGTATATGATACCAGTCATACCCAATCTTGGTGACTGACGAGATCTTTGCGATTAAATACGATCGTTTCCTTTGAGCAGCGTGGACTAAGCGAAGCACTACGGTTTCACGTGGGTTCACGCTGTCTATTTAAGGTTTCAATAACATTTGACAAGTTAAAACGTTCATCGTATATTTTTTAAAGCGAATGATGTAATTACTTGTTTTGCAAAGCATACTCAGCTTATTATTGAGTAAGCAATTACTAAAGGAAGCTTTTAGTTGATCCGTTGAGTTACGTTCACAATTAATTATGTTAGATATTGGAATATCGTTTATATTTTTGTTATGGTTGTGTTTGCAGACGCTATAGTCAGCACTACCTTCGACAGGCAGACTAGTTCCGCTACTCCTAGCCACTTCCTCGTTTTCCATTGTGCGCTTTTCCCTTTCTGACTTGAAATAATATTACTTGACGATTTTGAACGCCGGACACGGCTACGCATTTGGCGTCCGCCCTGATACCACTTGAGCATTCTGGTTCCATCACTCTCCTAACAAGTCGACCATTGATTTAATCAAGCTCGAAAGCAAAACAGCGTCCTGCGGATATACCGATGGATCACCAATGCACAGCTTCATCGAACAAGCTGCGATTGCCGAACGGAACAAACACACACTATCATCTCTACGAACGTGCCGTAGATTTGCATTTTACCGCGCTGCGGGAAACATCGCTAGAGAGAATAACTGATAAAATGTCTATTAAAAAAGCCAGACACAGTATATCCGAGACGATAAAGAGATTTATTTTCATACACGATATAACGTATATATATTACAGCATATCTAACTGATCTAGCTTCATATCGAGCGTTTCGTACAGCAGAAGTCGATTGACTGTCTTTTTGCTGAAAAACAATCTACACTTAACTCATATATGACGAAGAACGTAATCGAGAAAACAAAGAGTTACTCGTTGTATGTTACTTGTTCAAGTGTTTTTCGAAGCTATGTTTTATTGTAATAATATTTTTTTAGTTTTATTGTATGTAATATTTTTAAGTAGCAATTTAGATGACTATAAGAAGATATTTTTTCTAATGCAGGTGAAGCAATATCTGTATGAAACGGAGTTAATGAGTTAGCTTTCTTCACGTTCTAATACATCGTATGCAAATAAAGCTTCGGTATATTTGTGGGTTTAGCTCGTGTTACAGTTACGCTTGACACAGTTAGCCTTAGATGGCATCTAATCGGCTCTCGCCGTATGTTGTACATAGAGATGTCATTGCTTTTGCTATTTCGAGAAACTCGTCGTATTTGATCTTATGTAGCTTTAACATGTAGAAACTGTTGCGCTTGGTTGATACTTATGCATCGAGATATAATTTACATATTTTACAAAAATTCAATTAACGACGATGTTGCTATGTTGTCGTTGATTAGCGTCTCAGCTAATATTCCGTCCAGCGTGGTTCGTCTGATTCGTGTCGTCGGGCGGGTCTGGCTTCAGCGGTCCTTCACGCTGCTTAGACACGCTTAATCGCCCCAAGTAGATCCAGTAGAATTTCAGCTTCTATTTCAGATACCTAGAAGACGGGATCGAGTGTGTGAGGAGCGCATTTGTCAAATACGATAATCAAATTAGTAAATATCGTTACGCTGTTTTCTTGTTCTCTATATATACCCTACATAGCGCTGATGAAAAGTTGCTTACGTTTTGTAATTAATCCCTGACGCGGCAAATTTAGCGGCAAAATTACATTCGATTCTATCGAGGCAGATATATTAGTCATCTTTAAAGAGGCACAGAACGCGGAAAATGAGAAGGGAAATAAATCGTCCTTTTCTCGCAAGGTGGTAGGTTCTTACTTTGCCGCCCAGTCCGTTCTTCCGTGGATGGCTGGCTGTGTGCTTTGTTGGCTGCTGGACGGGATATTTCCTGCCAATCTCCGGGTTCCGTTTGGGTTGAACAGTGTTGGCCCCCGGATACTCCCGCTGCCATAGCTAGCTCCTGTGGGAGATGGCAAAACCCATCACGTATTGGGGGCATGTGAAGAAGCAAAAAACACCCCGAAGGGATTGCTCACTATAAAGAGATGATTTGTTTGGAATAGATACGTTAAATCATATGGCAGTAATAAAACTTTTTTCGTGAGTTTTTTCTAATCCTCTTCATATCTCTTCAATCGTCCATCCATCTTCGAATGTGCGCGTAGTATAAAATCTATTTGTGCTTTCTTGTCTCACAAACAACTGCGCACAATGCAAATCGAACTATGGACGCTGCTTTGATTACACGTTTTACCTGCCCTATATTGCAGAATAAATTTCAATACTGTCGTACTTTTGTGTAGTTTGCCAGTCAATCTTTCACTCGATAGGTCACACATTATAAACGATCATATGCATTTTACGATTATATAGATTTGTCCAGATTTACGTGTCACTGACGGTTACTTTTATTCTATAATGGTTATACTAGGTGCATATTGGGTTCCATGCCAGTAATAGACATTGGCGATGTCTCGAATTTTACACAGATAATGTACTACCCGGTAAATTAACTGGAAATTCCATTCTTCCTGTATGTACGGCCAACGAAATTTGTAGTTTTTTTTATGTGCTAACTTAAGCAAATGATACGACTTTAAGCCCGTTGTTAAATTACATAATTGGTGTCGCTAATTAGTCATGCGTGATCTACCAACAATTTTTTTGAAGAGGTAGTGCAAGTAGTGCCGGACATAAAACGCAGCTGTGCTATCGAGTTTTCGAAAAATTAGCTATCTTATTCCATGGAAAACTTCTATTTAGCATGGCTAATAAAAGTCGATAGCAATAACAGAAATTAGATCAGTAAGGCTAGGAACAAGGAAAGACCTAACCTATTTTGTGTTACAAAGCAATTACAATTGGGCTGTATAAACAGTGAAATATTATAGATGACTGTTCATTTTAAAAGCATAAGTCTTTTTCTCATACGACAATAGGCATAGCGTGGTGCATCGTTCATATTGTTTATCTGAATCATCGAATTCTACAACATCATAATTTTTTCTATTTTGCTCAAATTTCGAATTGGTGCGCCCAGCGTCTCCATTTAATTAGGGCCGATTCTACGAGCGATACTGGGTGTTTTTTTATCCCATTTTTTCTAGCCCATAACTCACACCATTCAGAACTTACCCTTCTTCCACTAACTTTGCATGTTACTTCAACTTGTCTTTGACACTCGGTCACCCTTTAGACAGTTATACATGTTGAGCGTTCGTTGTATCGCCTATTAGCACATCTGATCGGAACATTTTATGGTGTTCCTCGTGATTTCCAACTGCACATGTTATCTTTTATCTCAGCATGAAGTTATTTTTGTTATCTCTCGATGTAGTCCATCCAAAAGGACAAATGAGTTTAAAAGGCGTCTTTTTCCAAATTGTACTATTATCTAAACCTGTCTTCCTTTTATTAAACGTGGGAACCAAGTATGTGTGCGAATAAGATCTAACGTATATTTAGTCTGATTATAGATGCATCATCCTGGCTGGTGTAATGTGGCTTATTATACTTCGTGTAACTTTTTCGAGGCGTGTCCATATGTGATATATTTATTGTACATGTAATAAATACAAATTCGCTTTTTTCTATAGATTTTATGCGCTGATATATAAAACGTGTCTATTTACGACAAATGTTTGAAAAACTTCTTCTCACAATATAATGCTCTCCCTTTATGTCGAAACGATTAGATCCTGTTATCATCAATCTTGCATTACTTCCAAGCTTAATAGCTTGATGTTTTTATCCCCTTCTCCAGCTGGAGTAATATACTGTTATATATCTATCGTTGCAAAGCATTACCAATACTAACAGACGTGGAGCAGTCTACAGGACAAAGAAGGCAAGGAAGTTTCTTCGAGGTGATCCTTACCGAGGGATTTATTCATGAGGGAGATGAGCTCTGCATCCTGCAAGAGACTCTCGGTGCTCTGTATGACTTCCATACCGGGAGGTACCATCCGCATGGGGTTTCCACTGTTCTTCCGCTTGACCATGTTCGAGTTGGCTCTTGGCCCCTGGTAAGCCCAGGCCTTTTGACTCTGGCTGTTCCTGTGGGACACGAAGACGATAGGAACGCAGGGCAAATACTCAGGAGAAATTCGCGGTGCAAAAGGGTGCACGACAGAACAAGATAGTTTAGGCCTCAAACGCAATTAGTCTAGACGTACAAGCCTGACAAGCAAGCGCTGATTTACAGAAAACACCAAAGAGGTATCTAGCATGCAGTTAGCCCAGAGATACACCCATTGATCGTGCTTACTGTCGAAATCAGCGGATATCCGATGCGATATTTTTAAAGCTCCAGCTTCAATTACTGGTCAGGACATATCAACCAGTACGGAAGAACATACGTTAATTGTTTCTTGCGCATATACTATCTATAGATCGTTACAATGTAGTAAAGAAACGGCTATTTTCGCTAGCTTAAAAATTGTCGCATTTGTTCCGCAAGAGAAAGTGGAAGGCAACATGTCAGACTGAGTTAGGTTCATCAAACACAATTAATGCTTTGTTGAAAGAAGTTCCAGCCCACCCTGATAACGTGTTTTGGCATAGACCCACACATATACAGATATTGTTTCGAGGAATAGATTGAATTTCGAAAATAATGGTTTTGCATCAAACTCTGTCATATACGTTAAGCTGAGGTATAATAACAACGAGATTCACCGATTGATGTCGAAATCGTCATCCGGAGGTTTGTGTATTTCTGAGGTCATCTCATTGATCTTCGACTCGCTGCAATCAACATCCCATTTGATGTTAAACCAAGTCTTCGACTGAGGTTTTAGCTCAAAACTGCCGTTCTCCAGATCCTGTCGGAAGTCAAAAAAAAGGTGGGGATAAATTCTATGTTTCTGCTAAAAGCTTGACAGTTATTTAGCCGCGGTGCATATTACTATCGAAGTCATGTCTAGAAATGGCTGAGTTATTAGTGTCAAATAAATTTGTTATGAATATCCATTGAAGGTACCTGTAACAAACGTCTATCGGCGAACTCCTGGTAGGACCGAGCCATCGCCGATCTTTGCTGTTGTTTCATTTGCTGGTTCAGCGAATACATAGGCCCCACTCGAGGCCCTTCTCGAAAATACGGATACCGTAGTGCCTGTAATCGTGATATTGCATGTGTAATCTGAATGACAGGCTGTTTATTTAAACCGAGCAATCTCGCCTCTTTATATGAATGGGGAACTGCGCTTCTCGCAAAGCATAGCATTAGACTCAGGTCTCGCGTGCTATTTGACAGTATTCGAAGCATCGGTCGTCAAAATTGTAAAAGACAGTAAAACAAGCGGACCGTTTTTAGATAGTTTACGTGCTAGGTTTAGGCGAAATTAGGTAAATAGTTTTGAAGGCCTGAACCCTGCAAGCGTCACTATTTCCATAATGGAGAATGCTCCCAGTGACACGGTGAGGACGAAATTCGAATGCAATACGACTAGGAAATATAATAGTCATAGTCAGGCTAGTCAAACGCAACTCCACAAACCTAAAACCTCAAGCGATTAAAAAAGAACTTCACATCGGCTTCGAATAGACCTTCCGGTTTGCAGTCCGCTACCCTAACGGGTGCCTCATCCACTGGTTCTCGTTGATGACGATACTTACTAGGGTAAGTCGTATGTCCTTGACAGTCGTCGGAATAGTGGTCATGAAAATATGACTTTACATTGGAATGAGCATTTTGTGTAATATAGCTTTTAAGAATCACAACTCGAAAATTGAACGCGACGTTATTTCAGTGTAAGGTTTTGTAGGATTTCTTTTAGGAGAACTCAAGATTGAAACCTTTGATGTATCATTATTTTTTCAAGGTTTGGCAGCGTATTGAAGAGGATCGAGACATTCCTTCCATAAGATACTTTCTCACCAAGTTTAGCAAACCGCATGTGGAAATCGATGACTCTTAACGGATGGTAGATATTCTGCCCCCAGAAATTTTTCAGGACGCTCTCAGTCATACTAAAGACTTTGAAATAACTGTAGGATCCATGTGCACGCTTGCTGCAGATTTTCCTATTATAAACGATAATTGCATTGTTCAATATGGCAAATGGTAGGGCGTAGGTAATCATTTGCTAGAAGCCTACAAGCCAGCTCAAATGAGAGGTGAGCCTGCAAACGTGTTTCTTGATCGATACTGCATATAAGGTTAGAATAATCAACAACTCATAGTTACGTTCCCCTTGAGTTGGATGACGTCTATGCCCGCCTGTTAGGCATGCGAACACGTGATTCATTACCCTATTTTGCTTCGTCAGCACGTTAGTTCTGCAAATATATTGGACGCGAAGAACGGTGTTACCTGTGCTAAGCAATCAAGCTAGAATGAAGTTACTTTTTGAATAAAATGGCGTTACTATTAGGATAGAACAGCGGGGATTGCTCTTAATTATATTGATTACAAGAACGAATATCATAATTAATTAGGCTGTTAATTAGGCATGTTTTATAGAAGAGTCAATCATATGTACTTAGGATCAGGTCAGTAGAGATAATTTGGCACCAAATTAATTCAATCATTACGTCGAAATAAACTGGTAAGTTCGAAAAGAGCCTGTGAGCACTTTTTTTTTTATTAAACCAGTAATTTACTTCTAGGTTAAGAACGGTACTGACAAATACGTTTCTAGAAGAGAGTAGCCCTCGAAGCTGGCAGGCCATCAGGCAGTCACAGGGTCTCAAGTATGCTCCCTTACACTCAAGATTAAAATTACCTGTATCTAGGACACTTACGGCAGTACCAGTTGGACGTCTTGATGGATTCCAGCTGAGCATATCCCTCAAGAGAGTAATACCTTCCGTGCTACAGTTTGGTACGAGGCTTTCTAGACTCATTTCGGTAAATTGAGGAAAACGGAAGTTCATGCCGGCTGCCAAAGTGTAACCTTCCGGCCATTCACGTTTATCGGGCGTTCCCAGTACAGAGCAGATTCTGGAAAATAGCATATATAACAAAAAAATGTATTTTATTTCTACGTCATCGAGATGTCCACAATAACAGCGACAGCAGCAAAATGGTAACGCCTTATATCTAGTAATAGGTAATAAAATTTCAATATTAGTCAAGTCAGATGGGCATGTAAGCGTGTTGCGTGATTAAAAAAGAAGCAGTTGACTGTAAATGTGGGTCACCGCCAAACCTGCAGGAAAGCACTCGTTGTACAATGTATTCAATTGCTAAACACAAAAATAGCGAACTAACCTGAAGATTTGGTCAATTTCTGAACGACCAGGAAAGAGCGGCTGTAGCGTGTACAGTTCTGAAAAAATGCACCCCACAGCCCAGATATCAATTGGCGATGAGTAGTTGGTAGAACGAAGTAGAATTTCTGGGGCCCGATACCATCTGAAACAACAAATATTCCCCCAGCTAATTATGCGCTTCAGCGAAAGTGCTCCGTGTACAGCTAGTTAATCCTGATGCGTACAGATATAAACATGATGTCCAGTTTTACGAGATCAAATTTAGAACACTGCCAGAAATTTCCTTCCAGGCAGTGTTTTCTCGAAGCAAACACCTAATATGGAAACGTTCAATAATCATTCATCAACAATCAAATTTCGATCAGAGCGAACTAAAGATGCGGTCGGCATTGTATTTCCTACTACAGTCACACATGCGTTTCCATTCAATGAAGTCACTGACATCATTACATCAGTCTTGTCCAATACTAAGATCGAATCCTGAACTATAATGATAGGCATTACATTGTAGATATGAGGTTACCCAGCGTGAATTGCCTGCGCTTCCTAATTACCAAAACGAAGGACATTATTTCGGACTACTTTCTCTTACTTACCATAATGTATATGCCAGTAGTTTGTCGGACTTTGTCCGCCATACATTGTCTAAGAATCTCCTCAGCGTGCTAAATTACATCAATGGGGCGACGAAAGAACGGAAGTCCGAAAGCAAATTGACATTCATTTAGCTTCTCTTTTACTAAATAGGTCTACAATGGACGCTAATGGTATTTTGCTGTCCTAGTCTAGTTTATCAAGTTAGGGCTATATTAAATACTTCCCCATGTCGGGAGCAATTGAATCAAACCAAAAAAGAACTTCCATTTCAATGCATTAAATGACGTTAACAACTTTATGAGATGCGCTTCTCAGTAATATTATTATGTTTAGTATTACGCGGCTTTTGCTATTCACCACGTGACGACTCTGACCCTCGTATATCAATTGCGCATTGTCCAATGTCATCCCTCTAATAGGGAGCTTTCAAACAGGCTTGTATCGATATTATATAGAACTAGGTTTTGTTGATTTGTCAAAGTTATGATCCTCTAAGTATCGCTTCCTGCTGCGTCTTTTTTGCTCTTCGCTTGCTTTACGTCATTCTGGCCTTGACCAGAGTCACCATGGCAAACAGCGACTCTAACACGGCCTCGAGACAACTATATGCCCGAGGCAAGGCTGTTTACTACCCCCTCAGCCGACAGTTAGCCCTTCTTACCGATATAACACGCGCCGGGACTGCCAGACTGTTATAGCGTTGCATTTGTACAAGGTCAGCTTTCATCGATTAGCTCAATATGTTTGTGCCACTCAAATTCAAAACAGATAGCGAACTCGGCCGTCATGCTGGACCTTTCGGCTCTCAGGGGTGGCTGTTAGTGAGGCGCAAAATCGCAGAACTTTAAACTTTTAAATGCTAAAGCTAGTAAATAATATGATGGATCAAAGATAGGAGAGTTCTTGTGCTTCAGGCTGGTGACGCATAGTTAGTTTTGGTTATAGTGGTTGGATATGTATGATGAAGTGTATTTTTCTGAGTGTATTACCAATCGATTGTAAACGTCTGCATCTGGAACGTTTAACGGCAGTAAAGTTAGTGTATTGCTTACTTGTAGCTTAGTTTGTTATTACTGAACAATAGCAAACCTAGTAATTGCAGTTGGGACAGTCCGGGCATGAGTTGTCCACGTACTTGCTGCTGCAGCTCGCAGATTGGTTAGAGGTACTATATATATATATATATATATATATATATATATGAGAGAGAGAGAGAGAGAGAGAGAGAGAGAGAGAGAGAGATAGAGGAAATACCAAAATGCTAATTGGCCCGGCAGCTTTGTTGTTAAAGATTGTTAAGCTTACCAAATTGTAGATGGTTGAATTGTTTTAATAGGGACAAGTGGTATCTTTGTCTTCCTATGACCTGTTGAGTGTATCTAGCCTTTGATGATGCAACTACGATACAGAAGGGAACATCGAATGGAATAATGGTCAACTGTAGGATATTTTTCGATATTGTTTCAAAGCAATGAAAGTGGAAAAGAAGTTAAAAATCGATAGGCTACATTCGCTGCCATATATGATGGCATTATACGATGGAGCTATTGATATAACGGTGAGTACCAGCCGTATACCGTGTATACCACTGCTCAGATTACTAGTACTATAAACAATAATCATAGTAACATAACAAACTGATTAGTCAAAAATCTACTTAAGGATTTATCTTTTTTCAGTATCAAACTATCTGTAGTGATATTTTATTTGTAATTAACAGATACATGCAAAATCACTATTGAGACGTCATCATAATAACTACAAACAGTCCTGCACAATGTGCTCCACTGGAAGTAAGTGTTTCGATAAAAGAAAGTTTCAATGTCCACTTTGCACAGAATGAATTACCTTGTGGATACATAATCAGTATATGGCGGTCGGGACCGAATCTCTCGGGCGAGTCCAAAGTCAGCTATCTTGATTACATCGGGACCCATGCACAATAGGTTCTCCGGTTTGATGTCCCGATGGAAAAATCCATGTTTATGCATAAACGCCAAACCCTGGAATATCTGCTGGACGATATTTCGTATCACCGACTCAGGAAAAGGCTTTTCTCTGCAAAGCAATGGGTTTTAATGCGCTTGCTGTTCTTTATTTTATATCTTCGTCTGGCCATGAGCGTCTTCGAAATTTAGCATCGTACCAATAGACATAGCTAAGTCTACTTTCTAGGTTGGCTTGGACTACGTTTCACAAACCCGCTGTCATTCTTCGAGCACGATGAGAAATGATAACCTTGAATTTTCAAGGTCGTCCCGTCAGTTTTAGAAAAACCCGGAAAATTTACACTCATAGCAAACGGTAAATCCGAACGAAGCTGAAGACTCCAAAAAAAAAAAAAAAAAGATATAGACTGAGAGTTTATAATGAACCTCATCGACCTAGTGATTTAGTTGAATATAGTCCTATAGAGAAACATTGGGTCGTTGTTATGTTTAGCTTATACTTGGTTTTCTCTATTTACTGTTTGTATGCCGACGATGCCTCTAGCGTCATTCAGAAGCATGCGCGTAATACAGTCTAAAGCGAGCTGAAAAGCCTACCTGTCTTTAATAAGTTGGTAGAGATTTTGTTTCATGTACTCGAACACAAAGTACAACGTATTGTCCTCGCGAATGACCTCCTTCAGTTTAATCAGGTTTGTGTGGCTTAACTTTTGCAGTGACTGGAAGTGACCAATAGGGTGACTTTGATTAACAATGTAGAATATTAGGTAAAGTCTGACGGAACATTGATCGATGATTGACGAAAGATTGATGTCTCTCAAAAAGCATCAATCCTTTACTTCCTTCCAGCTACTCCTACTTATGAAAATCAATCAACTATAGAAACTGGAAAATATTTAGATGAACATCAACGTGCTAGCTCTGTTATTACGAATTAATCGATATATATTTCCCCAAAGAACTGAAGTCTAGCTGGAAAACGCAGGAAACCAAAGTTTACCTGATCGTAAGGTTCGTAAGTTGTAATATGTCTATAATAGAATAGGATATAAAATGACAGTGTATTCGATCTAATGGCCACACGATAGGCTGCGGAGGTGTCGGCCAACAGCCGATTATGGAGCACAGTTTCGTAATCTATTATAGAATAGCAGCGTATGCATTCACGTCATAACTAGGATCAACTGGTATTATTGACATGGTTCAACTTTACAGTTAGCGAATCCGCAGGTTACAGACTAAACAAGTTTTCGTCGTAACTACGTGCTTCACTACAGGAACTTCTGCGGTACGGAAAAACCTATCTAAGTGGATTTGTAGATACACCAACAACAAATTGTTATTCAGATTAACACACTGTCCATTAAAATATCTGTATCGTTGCACTGGGTGGCAGATAGGGCTGAATCCATGAATCAAGAGATGGATAAGATTATTGCTTATTTACTGTATTTCGTTTATAACTTGAAATATGTATGAATCGGTTTTGCCCGAAATTTTGTCCGTGGAGCGTCAGCACCCCCTTGCGGAAATAATGAAATCGACGACAGGTTTCAGCGAAACCTCCAACTACTGGTGCCCATAGTAGTGTTTGTCTGCGGAACTTTTGGACACGTGATGGTTTAGGTTCGAATGCCGGCCTAGATACACTTTGTTTCATGGCTGAAAGGATCAGCCGTTTAGGCTAACGCTTAACGGCTTAAGTAATGGACGTAAACCACGCATACAAATGGTTCCGACGCGACAATTGAATCCAGACGACGTTGTGCGGCGTGCTCATAACGCTGATTTCGTATATTTTATCTGGTCCAAGTACTCGTTCGGTGATATAACTGAAAATATCGTCAAATCTCAGCGTTCAAAAATATTGACGAACTATAGTGATTCTATGGGCGATCTAAAAATAAATAAATAAAACCGTATATCCGTCTAGCATTATAGTGATTTGGAAACTGTTAGCTCCTTATCTCGATTTCGCATGCAACAAAGATTTACGCCACTATAATCTGTATATTGATGATTCATTCTTAAAGTTTATTATATTACTATGATTAGGCTAATTACATTAGAAATGTACAATCATTTACGGCATCTTAAATTTTAATGGTAAGATTGAACCTCTACCATTGATTGAACCAGCTGAGCCTCTACTCGCAGTGAGGAAATGCTGGCCGTCGATCGATTCGGGGTGTCAATAATTCCAAATGGTCAACAGAAACGGGGCTCATCCAGAAACAGTGACTAGGAACGAGCTTCTGTCAGAAAGAGCTTAAATCTATTCGAGGCGTCATTAAAGAGTAGGTGGTAATTTAACACAATACTATTAGATGTTCATAATATGTCTTCTTCGCTTTACTTGCCCTAACTACCTTCATATAATATATAACAAACGACAGTAGTAAACGACAGTTATATACGGCCTACCGGAAGCTTTACTTGATGTCTATGATTTATGCTGATAGTTTTCTAGTGTAGTGCGCAAAGGCTAATCTTCCTACATGTCGCTCGCAGTATATATACTTCACAATAAGTGAACTTCCCACTAGTCTGCGCCTACAAGACAATATTCCTTCTAACTACGTATTCCTTTAGTAGCTATCATTATCATACGTACATATCGCCGGAAGTTGACAATGGCAAGACCCCGGGTTCATGAGCAGGGTCAGCACCATCAACACCCGAGGACAAGTCCCGTCCCTGATTCATTTATTCGAAATGAACTTGGCCAGCTTCAGTCGATAACTGTTAGCAACAGTATTAGTTCAATTCGCCATTAAAATGGGCTGCCGTCTCAAAAGTTTTAATTGTTCCAACAGTCAGTCAATACATAGCGCGCGAAGTTACCGAACACGGCTGGTGTTGTTATGTGTCAGTTCTATCCGACTGATCCGGCTGTGTTATTAGGATGGTTACTGTGATACCACAGTGGTACAATCTTGGTACGACGAACTCGTAGCGCTGTTGGACAGCGGAGCCGACAGAGATTTCGCAAGATGGATGGCTGCATGTAACAAACCTGGCTGTTAAACACAAATACGGCAATACGGGGAACGTCCTGCGCGGAAGTTATGTAACTTCGCTCATGCGAAGTTTGGCGTCTCCGATTAGGAACAATTTAGAAACTCCGGCTGAGAAGAAGAATCGATGCAAACCTTAATATTTTCAATTGGCTAAGCAATTTCGACTCTACCATCAATGAGGGTTTAACGTATTCACCACAGTTTTAACTTTTTTTACAAACTTGTTCTTAAAGTTACAAATGTTTGTCAATAAACTAAAGAAGGTAAGTGTTATGAAATTATATTCATGTTTCATTTAGACGGTTTTCACTGATAACAAGGTTTCGGTAAACGTTTCGATGCTAGTTATGAAGTCATTCACTCTCTCGCAAGCGTCAACAAGCACAGATGAGAGTCGCGGGTTTGACCGCTTGTATCAATGGCGACAACGATTGTCTTTTATTGAACGCTATATAGACTAATCATATATAAAAACGTATATAGTCGGTATTCCTTCAGATAGCCTTACTGCTAAATACGCATCGATATCTTGGAGTCGAGTCCTGTAATGTATTCTAACGGTAAATAGTGATAATCTTGTCCTTTCTGAATGCGGCATAGGGCTCAACGTTACAGACAAAATAACCACAGTCATACATATTGTAGTGCAAAATGTAGTTTGGTATAGGCATAAATTAAATTTCGCCTACTAGTGAAGTAATCGAAGCATGAAACCGCTGCTTATGGGGCATTTTTGCAGGCTGTTTGTAATAAGCGAAGACTACAGGTTGCATTTTCTCGAAGCCCTCACTTCTTCGTCGTGAGACATTGCCTCGCACCGGTCGTTCACGTGCCCGATTTATTAGCACACAGCTGATGTTATCAACGACACTGGTTAATGGCTGATAGAATGGAATCGAATTCGTATGTAAGGGCGGACGGTAATCCGCAAGCATAGACAACAAGAGCAACAACGTAAATGTCGCTGAACGGATCTGACGATGAATTACTGTAATCAAGCGATCGTGTGATGACACAATAAGAGATGCAGTTAGGTATGCGCCTTTGAAAGGAATAACACTGACTTATCATCTCGCTACTATAAAAGATGGCATCGTATTTAACGATGGTCGACCTTTTCCTTCACGGTCATGGCTAGCACACGAAGCAATGCTTTCTTAACTGACGAAGACAACAACAACAGCAACAAACCATTTCAATGTACAACTATCTGTAGTAATACTTTTTTCGACTGTAAGTTCGTAGTTCTTCTGCTATGCCGTGTAAGTTTCGCTCACTCAGGTGCTATCTATGCAACTACTAATATATATAACAATTTAAATGCCAAACGTAACTTTACTGATGTCGGTTATTACAAAAGGTGTAGATACGTCTGCAAGTAACGTACATACAAGCCGCTATAAGACTGTGTAGAGCATAGCGATGACTTACCTTGACTTCGCGAAGGTTCATACATTCCTCCCATGAATAGTACTTTTTCTTCATTCTGGAAATTGAATTGGAGTGTTCAGTTTCTTTCTTAAAAGCTTTCACTCTGTATGTGTAATGTATTAGGAGACAAATATTTCATTTGTGTTAAAAACATGGGCTGGTGTTGGCATACATGGAAGATTCCCCTGAATAATTTACTAATTAATCCAGTTGTACCTAATCTCGTCTGAGGCAAAACAAAACTTTAACAGCATTGGTCAGAGTGTGACCAAGTTCTACGTAGAGCTCCGTGTCCCTCATGCTGTGACCTGTGTGAGAGAGCTGTGGGTAGAATTCAATCGGTTCAGAAATGCACCAGTGTAAAAGATTGGATAAAAATAACGTTTAGCGCATATCCGCAGGAGTACAGCTTCTCTAGAAACGAAAGGGGGTCGTAAAACAGTAAAAGGCATATTTTTATTGCACATAACTGAAAAATAGGCTGTTTTCCTGAAAACGCTATGTCAATGGGCCGGAAAAAGCTGGCAAATAAAACCAATTATTGATTGACAGAAATCTACATATACTAATGAACGTTAGCAAGTCAATCTATAAAGCCGAGTTTGAAATCCAGCACTCAACTATTCCGTCCGTTAGATTCATCTTACCGTGGGCCGTATAAGAACTATTATTAGAGGCGGCTAACAAAGGGAAGCAGTTAATAAGGGCATGAGCATTTCTATTAGGTGATAGTTTTAATTCTCAGATTTTTAAAATTGTCTTCGGCATGATTTCTGAAAACGTTCGCAGTCTCGTACAACATTGACATTAAATCAGGCCTTTACGGGACCTATTTCCGAAGATCTTCGGGTACTCACTTTTTAATAGCAACCTTGTCACCAGTCTGCTCGGAGATCGCGAGATGCACAGAACCAAATGTGCCGTCGCCAACCTGATGCAGGATGCGATAGCGTTTCATATCGCCCGCTTGGGTTATAGGCGTAGAACGTGCCGTGGGAGATGGTGTCAATGAGGTCGGCGTCAAGGAAGCCGGCGTCTTCGCGAATGTCCCCGCCGTCAAATCTACCTCACCACTATCTACCGTCATAGTGACTGATATCCTTTTGCTGATAATGTTTATAGAACTACCCGAACTTTACAGATCGTTTAGAATTAGTGATAGAAAAGGACAGTTCGTGTTTTAGAAGCTGTACAGGTGTGCGTCACTCCTGCAGACGGGGCCCCGGAAACCCTGTTGGCCAATAATCTCAAGCTGTGCAACTCATTCGTGAATGTGTTCGTGTTCAAGATGTTCCATGGTAATTTACGGTGCTAGATATCCTGTTGTTAAGTGGCACGTAATCTTTATTTCTGCTGTCTATCTGTTTGTTTTAGTGTCGATTATTGCTGAAATCGGAGGTGCATTGGACCGGCTTAGGGAGGTTTTTGGCCTGTTTTAGAGAGAAGAAACTCCTCGTCGTCTTTAGTTCACACTCACTGTTTGATGGCGACTTTCTCGCCCGTATCAAGTCTTTGACCGAGTAGGACAGTCCCATAGGTACCGTCTCCAAGCGCCGAAAGCGTGGCGTACCGGTTCATATTGCAGAGGTCTTCGTCAGGGATGAACGACTCGCCACTTTCGCTGGCCTCATCCACGTCCTCGTATGGATACGGCCTTCGTCTAGGCCTCGCTGAAAGCCACTCGTCCGAAGCCAGCACGGACATTCCGTGAAGGCACCAACGGAGACTAGCTACCGTATTAGCATACAATTATAAGAGACTGGACACGCTATGGAGTCAACATGCGTGGCCGCGCTTAATCACTTCGAGTATTCCGGGTCTTCCCTAACGGCGTTCGAGAGCAGAATATTTTTAGTGGTTCTGCCCAGTAATCTGGTATTTTTTTGTTTTAAATCCTCTCTATAATCTTGTTACGTCTCAATGAGCCATTTTTCAACAGTTAGGACATTAGTTCGTTCCGTCGGTACGTATAGGATAAGCGAATCTTGTTTGCCTGAAAGGGACAAAAACGTAGTAGCTTTTTTTATTGGCACTTAAGTAGAGGTAGTTTTCTTTTTATTGGGGATAGCTGTTGCAAGCAATTTATCATAGGACACAAGCTACGAAAAGGCGGGGAGACAGATAGGGTACACGGTAGGCACCGTGTTTAAATGGAGTCCTGATAACAATCTTTGGTGAACGCCTAAATTGATTCGTCCTTTCGCTCTCATGTAGAGCAACTCTATGTCATTTGTCGTTTTTTAATCTTTCGTTAGCTCGATTGATTGTATTTACACATGTTCAGATCCGTCCTGAGTATACATCACTACGTAACCGTTGCAACGTTATGGCAAAGGAAACGATTGTCTGGACAATGCACGTTAAAGCGTTTGAACCGTACGCGGGAAGTCTACAACCTAATAGCAGTGTTTGACGAGATAGAATAGAGCAACGATAAGTTTCTTGGGACTAAGCCTAATTCTACCCTTTTTGAACCAAATTCTAACTTAGATCTACAGTTAAGAAAAAGTTTTATATTTGGAAAAAAGGTAGAAACAAGATTTATCTTAGCTAGAAACCCATTTTTTTCAAAGGTCTCATATAGATTCTGTTATAGTAAATACTACTGCAATAAACATGCTGTACAAAAGCTCCGCCATGTGGCAGTTAATATGGCTAATATAATAATTGTATGCTATCTTGCGTCTTGCATTCTCGTCTTGAAGTAACACCACTGCAGACGTTCCTGTTGTCCGTTATGAATAACTTAAATTCTTTAACTACGTATACATGTCTGATATTATATTTTGCTCTCATTGATTAGGCCTATATTGTTTTATATGATCAATCCTGGTTGAAGCTCCTAAATTAATCAAATAGGTCGCGCGGCATAAAAATATACCTTTACCCATCGCTGTCATAATGCGAAACATAGTCTAGCTATTTAGACTAACTCAGAATCAAGCTGAGTAAATAGTGCATGACATGTTATAATACCGCGGACCTTTTGATAAGTCGGCATTTGACAGACCGTAATATTATTTATCAAGATAATGGCTTCATATTTTGATCCATGCAAACCGTAAGCTTGTAACCACAAAAACCAGCATCTTTATATAAATAACGAATGGGTGTTCAGTGAAAAGGTCTCGCCTGCGCGGCTCATAAAAAGCATTCACGTTAGCTGATTACGTAATACCAATAAGTTCAATGTCAGTTCTATCGATCGAACGTATCCAGTTGGCAAAGAATCTTTCCTAGAATAGGTTCGACTACACATGTTGAGGTCTGCAACTGTTGTTTCCTAAATTGATCCTTCATTAACTTCTAGAAGTTCAGTATTATAGGTAACTTAAATACAAACCCATTAAAATATTATGCCGATCGTATTATACTTTTTTTTTTGTTTTCGAAATTTTGATAGTTTTAGTTTAGATTTTAGGACTCTTGGGTTAGTCTAAGTTACCTCTACTTAGATTTCTTAATTTTCTTAATTTATTCTTAATTAATTTACCCTGAATAAATAAGCTATATAACGTTTAACATGTGAATCTCAATATGTGCCTTTACACTAATTTTGGCATTCTTTATATACATTATATTTTAACATACTTTATATACATTTTCAAGCAGATTGGTGGAGCAAAGTGGTCAATTGAGATTTCCTACAAAACTTTATTATGCATAAAAAAATGAATTATCATATTTACAGAATACTTTTTAACTTCTTAACATGAGGATCCATTGGCTATAACCCGAATCGGTAAAACACCTTTGGTACCCTGTGCTGTATGCAATTAGTCCGGATTTTATATTTCATGCTTTGAACAGTCAATTTCAAAATGTTATACGCCACTGGACGAGAAACTAAAAGTTGTCGATAATATAAATTTGTTGAAAGTTTGCATTACCGGCAATCAAAATCAGGTAAACACATGTAGACATCCAACATGGCACATAAGTTGGATGTCTACATGCGTCCACTGAGCTGCCTGCACAATGAGTTCTGCTTTTTCAACTTAAATAATTTGCGATGATTTGGTCCTTTTCAGGTGTTTTTCTATGTAAAAGAACAGAATATAATTGGTTAAAATTCAGTGCTTCGAATTACAAAATTAAAAGGAAACATATAGAAATTAATACTAATACAGTTCGATGACAGTTCTGAGGAAAACAAATTACTAAAATGAGGCTTTCAAGGCGAGTAACGTAATGAGAGCTTTCTGTAGACAAGCTCGTAGGTCTGTGTGTTCATCTGTTGCTCTACCGTTGTATACTACCGAACTGGCAAATAGAAAAAGAATCCTTTTAGAGCAAGCCGAATCATTAATCTATATAAAAAAAATTGGCAATTATACATTTTTTGTAAACATCTTTTACTTATACAACGTAAACTCACGTAGACTATTTTTATACACAACAAGCAATTTTAATAAGCGCACGGTCCTGAGGCAACCGTACGCAGGGACACCCTTACTGAAAAACTTAAAGCGATAAGAAAATATTACGTTGCTTAATATTATACTACCACGGCCACTTATCGCCCTTTGACGTCAATACTGAACTAGTTCAAAGACAAACGTCGAACCCAAACAGCTACACGCATGGCCGCGAACGAGGCCTGCAACAAATAAGAGCACCAACCACAACAGTCGCTAATAGAGAAGGCGACACACACACCTACGAGATAGACGAACTACCCTATCACCGCCTTCATTAATTCACGTTGGGGTGAAACGGTACTAGCAGAGCGTCGTCACGGGCGCTCCGGGCATTTGACCAACCCCTCGAGGTTGACGTGAATACAGAAAAACTGAGTTTCCCACCCCCGGAAGTGATGGTGAGGGAACGAGAGTGACGCCGACAATAATATTGGCCCTTACAACCAAGAAGTGGGTCTCCATGGCGTTCATCGCAGAGCCCCATTTTTCGATCTTTGCTCCTACTCCTGGTCCACAGCTTAGTCTAGCTTCGCTTCGCTGGCCGCTCGTCGAGTTGTGGCCAACATCCTGCATTCTACACGTCGATAAGGGAGGAACTCTTTTTGCGTGCTACTATACCTCATAGGCATACCCTATTCGCCTAGTCGTTCAGCCACCCATAAGGCCTAGATTTTTGTGCTAAACAGGGGTTAGAATTATCTGGGTCCATCTAAAATGTCTTGTATTCCAGAAAAACAAGATTGGCCTAAAGATATTATACCATCTATTTTGTATAGTGGAACAGTGTTTAGTAAGTTTCAAACTTACTATATTCGATTACTAGGTTAAGAACAGGTGGTACACATGCTGATGAAGCTTCAGATTGGTTAGTATTCCAGACGCGTTCAGTAAAAATCGCCGAGTGAGCTGTAGCTGACATCGACATTTAGGCTACTTCCGGGTCCGTGGCTACCCAGCTGAAAACATCTATGACTCAATTACACGTCAGCTAATGTTAGTTGGCAGGTTTTTGCTATAGGTGCAGCACTGAACCCAGGACCCGCTCATTCATCGGATTTAGAAACCTCACATGTCCAAAACCTTGTTCTGAGCAGAGAAAACTTGGTTGTTTACTCGTATGTCTTGTAAACTCCATAGCCTTTCATGTATATGATAGATTTAATAAATACATATGTGTGACCTCAAACAACGTTGTCCTGAGTCTGATCGTCGAGGATCGCAAAGGTTAAGGACTTGTAACGGACTCGGCATGACCACCGGGCAATATCCGCAACAGTATTGTTTTTGGGGGAGATACGAGGTCGCATATACGAAAATCGAGTCACGCTACGTGTAGAAACACGATCCCGCTCAGTAAGGTGTTTCCAACATTTGCTAGTTGTGTTCTTATGAGGCTACATTCGATAAGGTGACATTGGTTGCCGATGTGGTGCTTAGACTGGGTCAATTGTACGCTTTTTCTTTTGTTTCGCAGCCTAAGGTTTTCGTTACACCGTGATGTGACTACATTGTGCGCCCACTAGTATCTTGACGTATGCTGCAATTGATTCTGGTTTTAATGCGTGTATTTTTTGGAAACATAAGTATGCCTCATCATTATGCATACTGCTATGATCTATTAAAATATATCACTTCAGGCCAAACTGTCAAACGTTTAAGTTTATTGGATCGTTCAGATGTTCAGTTATATTTGAAAGGTGAGTACTTGAAATCCCTAGATCAGCTCATGGTCAGTGATAAACTGACCTAAATAAATAAACAGTGGGAAAATATGATATATTTGCTGGTAGGATTTTCGATTGTCGGAGGGGGCTACCTTATCGTCAGGAATCTATAGTGTAAGTTCTGGATGGAGCTTATTCGTCATTAGAGGAGCAAATATCTAGCACAAACCGATTGATCGGTTAATGAATTTAATGACAATATCTACAATAATGGTGGTTGAAATTAGGCGCTCGCCTTTTTTAGCCCCCTCGACGTTCTATATACAGTAATGTAAATAACAAATACATTGCAGTTCATCCGAATTTTGAAAAGGATTTACATAGGCCATACCCGGAAGCTACCTCTGTCATTACAAGGATCTATTAAAGTCGGACAAATATAGCGAAACTTTGAGCATCGCATTGAACAGTAGTAGTCACCGAAGTTGCCATACGAACTAATGGCATCCACTGTTCTTCTATGCCATTATAACATTATGGCCCCCTTTTCTGTGCGTTAAAGGTGAAATATATATGCTTATTCACGTATTGTTTACTTGTTTTTATATATGTCAGGCTTCGATTTCCATGCGCCCCGAGAGACTCATATAAGATGCAGGTGCTTCTATGTTTTGCAACAAACCACCTTTATTAAACCCAAATTAGATTCAAACTAACTTACTTGTAACTTCCACTTCCGATACAAAATTGGTCATTTGGTTATTAAGTGGCGCCAATCCCGCTATCAGCATAACCACGCTTCATAAAAACCTTAAATATGATTGCGTCCTCTGTAGATCTATTGGATACCCTAGTCACACCATATTGCTTTCCTGGGAGCGACCCGCGAGTACAACTTCAACTGGCGTTCCAGCAACCTCTACCGTTGACAAGAAGCGGCCCATCACTCAAAGCAGGCCTAACCTGAGATGAACAATAAATTTTAATAGCACGTTTAATGTGTAACATATTGGAAACAAATTAACTTTAGCATAATTTTTTTTTATGATAGGCTAATGATGTACAAAATATATATATAATAAAGGTGAAGAGTTCCGCTACTGTGCGAGATTCGAAAAGCACTCTGCCGGTAGAATAGTCTGAAGGCCAACGAAAGTGCTAGCCAATCGTATAAAAAATGTTTCAGATTAAGGTTATGATTAATATTCAGGTAGTTCCGATTCCTATACAATAAAGTGTGTCCATACAATGTCAGACTGTGAAGATATCCTTATTACACATACTATTCCCAACGACTATCGAGAATATCTACTGCAATTTATAGGTAGTTTAATATAGTTTCGAAATAAGTACTCCTATAGAGCTGTTGTTTTCGCAAATATTCTACAAACACCATGTCATGGCGCGCATAATACAACTATCAGTCAGGTTACTACCCAGTATAATCCGTGTTGAAAGGCTGTTGCACCATCTTCTACCGAAAGGTCTTATTGGTTATATCAGTATTAACTGGAACAAAACCAGGTCTGCACATACTTTTCAAGCTCATACAGTATTAGTATAAACTGAAATAAACATGTATTCATGCTCTATGCTTGGTGTAGGAAAAAAATTTGGTCTTTTACGAAGTAAGACACCTGAAGATTAGAAAGAAGTTAATTTGCATATTTGAAACACTGTAGTCCGACCGCAGAAGGACAACGTAAACGAAGCCAAATGATAGTTGAATTGGCTGAGCGTGATAAAAGTGGCACGCTCAGTAAGTTTAGTAAGTGGAATGGCACGTTTGCTAAACCGGCTGGGTGAGCATGTCATCATGTTCTGGAACACAAACTTACGACCGTTTTACAATATCAGTTTGACATAAAAGTTATAACGGACGGAGACGTAAGGGAGCTGGAACCTAAATATTTCGTGTTTTACGTCTGTTGCTCCCGTTAAGCATTGCTTCCGATGCCTGGATCCCAGCGCGAAACGAAATGTATGAATACGTGTGGTTTCGGACCCAGACGCTCGTGAATTTCCTAAACTGGTACGTTAACATCATTTCATCACGGGAATGAAAAAGCGAGCATCTAATAAGCTTCCCATGGCAGATTGGCTTGCTGTCGTCGCAAGGAAGCGCTCAACGATACGAATCAAGCGTCTAAAACCCTGAACTGAAGCCGTGACCAAAGCAAACGGTTGTTATGTTCTATTTTATTGGTACACATAAAACATGTCATGGATGTATATATTTGAATGATAACGTCAATCATGTCGTCATTTATGCCGAACACGCCGCACATCTGAGGTGCTGCTCTAGAAAAAGATGGTGCTTAGTTTCAACATAGTGCGGATGACGTATGCTGCGGTAATTGCAGATGCCGCCGTCCGATATACATGGCACAGTCTGATTTAAAGTCGAATCGGGTTAATTGTACGCAGGGCGAAGTATATGCCAAATGGCAATTACGTCCGTTAAGGCTGAATCAAATATTGTTTCAGCAACTAAGCAGATGCCTTATTTGTAGGCACTTGTAGTTAAGAAATGACCAAGTCATTATAATGAAATGTATAGTGCAATCGAACCCCATATAATAAAAAAGGATTCCTGTGCTATCGATGCGCGTCTGGAGTCCTATGGGTAGCAGTCGATATCGTCAGTGCCCCAGATTGACATACGGTACATAAATAGGTAGTTAGACTTTCCCAGCGTCAGCCGTGTTCCTTTTGCAAATATGTTTTTGTTTTGACTAGAATTTCCTAATGGCAACATCTAGAGATCATAGGTACATTTTTTGTAGTATTATTGATCGTATTTTGCATACGACAGAAGTGTTTAAATAGTAACTTCGAATTTATTTACAGAGTCAAAAATGTGTGGGTTTAAAACTTCCATGCTAACTTATCGGCCTTTTAGGTTCGATGAAACCAATCAGCTTTGCTGACACTTGTGCAGCAGGAACAAACGGTCAGATACAGGTTAATTTAGGTATTATAACGTAACTATTAAAATAACATGCCACTCAGAGCTAGCTCAGCGAATATACGTTGTCAAGCATCTAGGCGAAGTAATTCCGGCTGGTATGTCTGTCTCTGGTAAAAATTATAACGACCAGGACTGCATCTGTATCTAGCTTTAAGGCTATGCGGTTTTGTTTCACTGTGACATCAGGAACAAAACAATGGATCTTCCATTCAGTATAGGATATAGGTCTGGCAATGTATTGAAAAACGTAGAGATCGTTCCTAAGATGACTTACGGTGCCTTCATATTATGTCTCAGTCTCTCTGAACGAGCAATCGTTGAAATAGGCATTCGTGAGAGATTTCATGAGCAGTGAATAAACCCGGTTTATATCTACGACCTACAATTGGAACTGTTAACGGCGGCTGGTTGCTACCACGCTTTGGTCCCAAAGGAGCAGTATCAATAGAAAGTGGCGTACTGTCCACAAATGAAAATCTTCTACGATGATATGATACATAATTAATTGAGCTATCGTGAGCCGAGTCGTTAATTTCTCTTACGCTGAACATTTAATAGCGCCCATAAGCCGGCTGGTGAACAGAAACTGATTAAAAAGATCTTGCGCCCACGTTATACACCGCAGGCAATAGTCGATTATGCCAACATATATTCTCGCCAATCATTTCAACGGTAGTTGATTGTTGATAAAAACAATTCTTCGATTGTACGGTCACAGCCTATTTTTAAATTTCTGGGTTTGTCCATATCATCTCTTGGGCAACGACACTAAACCAACTTGAACACATTCGATTGATAACTTATCCCAGAGCCTCATTCAAGGGAAATAAAACACCGTGGCTGTTTATTGCCATTTGACCCAGCTAAGTTTACCTCGCATTGTGCATACACGCCCTGATTCATACTTCGTTTCGGACTTGCGATACAGCTGTTGCACGCAAAGTTCGTAGGCATACGATACTCGTAAAGGTCGTTTGCTGGATCCTAGTCATTGCATCAGCACGCGACATAACCTAACGCTGGTCCTTTACGGTCGTTCTGACAACATTGTCGAATTACAGTTTATCTGGGAATTATTCAATGCCATTATTACAAAGTAGGTGTATTAATATAGGCGACCCTGTCGTTTTTTTTACCTGTACTACATATATTGAAGCAAACTTTTTTGAACAAGCTGAACATACCTGAACTTTGAATCGCATTCGTTCAAACACCACTATCCTATACGATACACTCCAATTGTAAGCGGAAGGGATTAATAAATCGCAAAACCGTTTTATTGGAACGGGTTCTACCATTAACGGTACTTCGTCCATGCACGTCAAAGTTATCAACACGAAAGATTCAGGCTTAACCAAGGTTACTTTTGCTCAGACTTCTGGAGCTTTAAGGCTCACCGGCAACTCTAGAGGTGCCTGGACACTAGGTCTGGGTGCGCACTTTCGATTCTTGCGTGCTTCGCAGCCACCATCACTCGGACAGACTCCTTTGTCGGCAAGCCTTCACGCGTTACGTAGTGTTGTTCTGTCGCCATGACTACCCCACTAGATTCAGATTGTCGAGCCTGCGTCCTTTGCCAAACAGGAAAGGGGCAGGAACGCTCTAAAGGTAGTACATCACAAAAGCTGTACTCCAGCGAAACGCATTGTACTGACATTTGTCGTGGCACTGTCGGCTGCGCGATTGATTGGCCATAGACTTTTAATGACTAGTCATGTATTCGGTGAAGGATAGAGCTTTGAGGCACTTGTTGAAGACCTAATGCCCTGCAGGTATGACTGATTGTCTATATGGTAAAGATGTCAAATTAGCGACAAAACACACATTATCTGTGTAGCCGTTGTTCGTGTTGTCTATTACATGGCAATTTCGCGGCGATGGATACCTGGCCTAATTGCAAGAGGCAGAAGAATGGCGCCGCTTGACATAAGATCACAGCTTCTTAAAGCTTTCGAATACAAGCAAGTGAGACAGACGTCAGTTTTCTGTCGGTATTTGAAGCATTTTTGTCATTTCTATGGATCTATTATACTATATTTTGTTAATACGAACTAGAAACTCATCTTGGGCACCGACCATTGGTAAAAATTCAATTTCAACAAAACGCTTTAGCGAAAAGCAAAGTTCACAAATCAAGCATATTAGACCTACAATCGATAAAAAAAAAATGTACAAAGGACGGATTCGTTGGCCGAAATGTACGTTTTTTTTTTTTTTTTTTCTCAGCAGATATCTAACAGTCAGTCGACTTCAAACCTCAATTCGTAAAGTGAAAACATCCGAAATCGACCATGTTTATGATACATGAAAACGTTAGATATGACAGTTACGATAGCGTAAAAGCTCTCATAACACGTTCGAGAATTATATTTTGATGTGTTTTATTTATTATAGTTATTTAATATATAATAATATATATTTAATATCCTAGAAATTGGTTCGGTGTAGAAGTCGAGGTATAAGCATTGAAGAGCATTACGTTATGAACCGCGTTGTTATAATTGAAACTTTTCCCATAACATTGCCCATCTATCCGTCGTTTCTTTTTTATTATAACGCATTTACAGTTGAGATGACTAATAAACGCGTTTGGGTTATGTATTTAATTCAAATGTTTCGAGCTTCTACATCCGGTACTTAAGCCGCTAGTCATATCTTTAGACAACCGATTATTTCTAGTCTGAGACATTTTGTTTCGTGATAACTTTGAATCTAGGCCATCTCACTAATGTCCTTAAATTCAATAGGCCACTGTACTGTCATAAGAACAATAGTGCACACTATAAATACAGTATGTTCCTCTCAAAAGCCCATATGTAAGGTTTGCCATTAAAACTGTTATTTTGTGTGTCCGTTTTCAAACCGTTTGCTGATTTGTGTAAGATCTATCATCTAATATCAATAGAATGAAAATAATGCCTTCAGGTCAGATCTGCTCTTCAGTTAAGTGATACGATCTTTCATCACGGTTCGGTATTTGCTGCTGCATGATATGAATTAATGTTAGTTACTGTATAATTGTCGGCTTACCGAAAGCGAGCCGATGGTAGCGTATCAACGTATGCAAATATATGGTAATCTCGTTTGCTTGCCTTGCATATTCCGCCACCTTTTTCGTGAGAAACATCCATCATTCGGTGCCAAGTGTACAATAAGAAACAAACAGTAGGGTCTATGGCCTGCCTCCTTTTCTGATAGGAAAACGAACTAGGCCTATGGGCGCGTCAACTGATGCAATCTAAGTAGGTTTAATGAATATGAACAACAGCATCTACTGACGTTTTGACTATGTATGCTAAATGCATCTGATCTGCATGTCACCAGCCTGAATTGATCCGCTACCCCTTTTGCCTGTAGGCAAAAAAAAAAACAGTTGCACTCGTTTTTTCCTACTAGATGCGTAGCACAACCTATTTCTTGATGGCTGATGGAATCAGACGTACGAAATATGACTCAGAGGGGCAAACTGCAACAATAGCGCGCACACACACACACACACACACACACACACACACACACACACACACACAGAAGCTTATAATGGTCTACACCGGTAAAAAAGGCTGCATCACTTGCTGATTCATGACGATCGTCATGCGTCGAGTGGCGTTCACGAAGCAATTACCATGCTATGAGGTTAATTATTAAGAACATATATTGACCTTACGCCTGTCGGCCAGATCAGGCCAGCGGAAAGCAGTAGCCGATTTCATTGTCGGTCACGTCAATTTCGAAAGATCACATATCGATTCCCGACCTGATGCTAAGCTCGAGGCGACCCAGTTTATAGGGGTCCGCCTATCTGTCGGGCAGAACCCCTTGTGCCTGGATGCCGTTGCAAAGGGTAAAGTAACTTTTTGTTCAATCAAATCTACAGAAAAGAGTTTGTGTAGTAGTTGGATAGAGCCGGTCAGTGTAGTGAGTAGAAGCCTGCCAGGGCTAACTAAAGTGCTTTCCCTCTGAATACTTCCGTTCACCTCGAGCTTCTCTGGAACGATTGCGGGCGAAGGGAACATTAGATCTTGGCCATCTTGATAAAAAGGACACAATTTTACTGATACCGCTCTTTTGTAGGAGATACAAGACAGCACCGCTTGTGAAGACCAGAACGATTAATAGTAATAGAAATTAGGCTGAGCACGTCTATTGATTATTGCTGGAAACTGTACCGCATTCAAGGGGTAAGTGCGACAAACGAAACAGATAATTAGCGCTTGTTGACTCGAGTTATTTAGCAACAACATTTAGTAATGGGTAGCTATTGTTCCAAAATTTTAGCGCGAATTTTTTAAATTTAAAAAAATTGAGAAAAAATTTAAGCAGAAGTAAAAACGAGACCTTAGCGATTTCAGTAAAATCACTGACGATTCTATGCGTCAGTATTTGAAAACGTCGTATGAAAATTAGCTTTTAATACAGTCGTGAGCTCGGATCTCATTAGCAGCGTTTACGCGTACGTTGACACATATAACGTATTTCGGTCTTATCAACAATTAACTAGTGAACATAGAGCTAGAAACATTTTCAGATGAGTGGTGTAGCATGGCATGGCGGAACCCATGGCTTTCTCATACTTCTTGTAGAAGAAATATCTTACGATACCCTATCCAAGGCTCGTCTTAAACAGTCGATCCATATTAGTCAAACAAATTCATTCGATTTTGATCAGTCAATTATTGATCATATATATATTACGGAAGCAAACTGACATTTGACGAAAATCAACGTCAAATCAATGACGAATACTTGAAGTAAAATAATATTTACTTTTGTGGAACATTTGTAAAAAAAAGAATGCGAAGATATGTTTGCGTGACAGAAGTGGATGAGCAGCGTTCCCGATACGGTAAAATAAAATACATACGTATTAAAAATGTGAAGTTCAGTGAAGAAATCGTGGCGTTAGACTAGCGATCATCGGTCCGTCATATACATCGCGTGGTGATCGCGTACCTGTCTCTCTAAAGGTCTAGTAAGCTAATGATGAAGTGTCATTGATTTTAGTCTTACGGAAGCTGACCTGATTTAAAATGTTAGGAAAAAGATCGATAATGCACTCGTTATGGATTAAGCAGATAATGGTTGTTCTTGTTTATGGCGTTATTTTTAGTCTGCTAATATCATACGGTATTATCATAAAGCATATTTACAATCCACAAGGCTACTGTTATCCTGTCTCTGCCGAGATTGTACTTCAAGTACAAGAGACGTTGCCATTTCGAATGATTTTGCGATGACTACATTTGTCCGTCATATAAAAGCTGCAACCGTATCTCAAAAAGTTTGTCCCGTAAATGGGGAACACCTCGTAGATGAAACTTGTAAACTTATCGAGCATTTACCTTGTTTCGCAAAATGGGTCGAGGCATTGTACGCCAAACTCTACGAGTGCGATACGGTACATTTGTCAGGTAGAAAGCCCCATCATTCAATTTAGTGAACCACTTTAAGTAATAATCTTAGCGATAGGGTGCTCACTAAGATATTCAGACAACTTTTTCAAGTCGGCTAAGGATATAAAGCCTATCTGTAGTTACAATTAAGGTTAAACGCTTGTGATGCGAATAGAATGAGGCAAAGGAAAGGTTTGACCATAAGTAAGTGTAAATTAGAGAAACCAAACGATAAATGACAGCGGCTATTACTCGATTAGAAAGATGGTAAAAGTCGACGTAATCCTAACTGCTCCGGTGGAACAGATGAACAGTTTCTTTCCAGTATAGAGAAAACACAGGACGGGACTTACGTGCCTGTTCAGAATGGCAACAAGCGTAGACAGTAGGTCTGGTAAACATCAAAGCCACGAATCTAATTAACGGTACAGGTGAACGTAAACGCATAATCATTTGCCGTATTAGTCTATGTTTCCGAGGAAGTACCGCAGCTAATTTTCTGTTCCGTGGTTCTTTCCAACCTAAGATTTGACGCTCTACGAAATTTAAGATGTGATCTAGAAAGCTTGTTCAGTGTGAAAAAATATCGATCAGTAACGCATCTTTAAGCAGATTGGGAGTATATAACATTGTACAATGATCACAATTGCGTTACCGTTGATTAGTACACGAGAATTTGGTGATCGGCCGGTTGTTTCCATACTCACTGACGAACATCAGTGACGTACGCATAACGGCTCCATAATATCTGTGGACTACGCTGTTGACGAGACGTTATTATGATCATTTTTATTAGGGTGGGAACAAAGTAGGCTTGAAAAAGGAAAGGCAAGGTCGCAATAGGAACATTACTAGCACTTATTCATAATGATCAAATATGTGCAAGTAGCGCTTACACGGAACATCCTTTTGCCTCCAACGGCAGAAGAAATGCGACACATGGGCATTATTTACTTTGTTACCTCGTGTAGCTTTCCGAATATTTCATACCTGGACTATTTAAGCTGCTTTTTCGTTCCCTTCTCGCAAAGAGTAGCTATTGTACGGGCATAAATTTGGCTTCCTTGCGACATTTTGTGTTTTGCTGTTATTTAGGCAAGGACTCCCTGTTATAGGACCAATATATTACTGTACCTAGAATGATTTTGATAAATGCCTGGAGTATATTTATACACGTATTTTTCGATAAACGGAAATTTTTTTATCAAGTTTTTTTGCTATAATTTGTCAACAGTTCTTGCGGAGCACAATGTTGAGGATCTAATATGATCGTGTGGGATCGTACATCTCATTTCGATACGAACTTAGAGTTAGTACTGACATTTTAAACAGTAAGTTCTCCAGAAGCCGAAATGCAAATATCTTGAAAACCTAACCTTTGTTCATGACAAATAATACCGTATTGTACTTCCAACACCTTATTTAGAAGTTACAGTCCATTAGGTACTCGATATCGGCGAAATACTGTAACGAAATCTAACGTGTTTATTAGGACTATTACGCTGATTAGCGATGGCGGGTCGTCCATAAATAGTCCAGCATTTGTCATTATTTCTCACTTCTAAACATGACTCGTACGTAACTGCTTTGCACAGGTATCAGTACCGGTTGAAGTTCTCAGCCATTACTTCGAATCGAGCAATATGTACGATCAGTTAGTTCCCAATAACGACATAATATCTGGCTTTTCAAGTGTACCCCATATGACTCGTTGGTGATTAGCGCGTGATCGAATGCCACTATAATATAGAAACTAGAAAGCAAGAGAAGCGAAACCGGAGTTGACGACATTACGCGGCAGGTATATCTTTTACAGCTGTTATATAGAGTGCACGACGTTTGTTAGTATGGTTCGCTAGGGCGCTCGCTAGTTATTTCTCAAGGCGATTTTATGCTGTTACTTCATCCAAAATGACTGGCGATCAGCCACCGTACAGTAAAGTCTTGAGATGGGCTCTAGAAGCTGCGTGGTGAAACAAAAATTGAGCCTGGCCGAACAAACGTGTCTCATCTCAGGAAGCATCTAATAACGTGTAGCTGAGACATGTTGGCTGAGATAAGATGAGACGTTTCTGATTGCAACAGGAACGTGCTATTTTTTTTTCGCAAATTTGTTATAACGCTCTTTGCATAATTACTGCTTAGTGTGAACAGGTTTCCAAAATCCCAAACGCCATACAAAATGCTGCCGGAAAATTTCGTTGAGTGGCCTAAAGGGCGAGGACTGGGTCCGCTTGTTTTGCTTTTGGCATGCCTTCTACCCACGATATCGTCTGATCGGCCCGGAGAAGACCCCTTCGGATCGATTGATGACACGACTGCAAACAACGTATGCACATTCGAATGCATTGAAGACATCTTGCAGAATAAAAAATTTGTCAACCTCATCGTTACTATGAGTAGCCAGAAGCTCGATGACACCGTAAGTTCTGCTAATTTTTAGGACACGGGTTGATCAACTTGGATCTTTTTTGAAGGCTTGTTGTTTTTCGTTGGCAGCACCGGAGACAAGGGGAAGAGATGCAGGCAGGCGTTTATATACAGAGCGATCCTGCATTACCTAATGCTTACTGTTACGTATTCATTGCGCTTTTAGTTAGAGATGGCTACACGCGTTAATTGTTTTAGCTAGATTTTCACCGCGCTATTTGACAGAGACCTTTCTGATTGGCTATATATGTTGCAGGATATTCATACTTATGAAAACCTGATTCCGGATGAGATCAAGGCGTTTCTCCATGACCAAACGCAAACGAAACAATTTCTTGAGAGCTTGAATGTTACCATAGAGCACGTGAGTTTCGCTGCCAATCATTTGTTGGTATATGTCTACTAATCCTGTGGTATGTGAGGTGGTCCGAGAACGAAATGGGGCAAAATTCACGCTTCAAACCTCTAGCGAAAACCTAGTTGTATCTAATAATATATTTCATATAGACGCTTGTGCTGATGCTGTCCTTTCTTGAGGTGGAATAGCCGTTCGCAGTACAAAGTTGCGTTTCACTTCTGACACCCATACCAAATATGATAGGTCGTATGGATATCCTATTAGCTCTGAGTGGTATGATAAACTGTACCGCCAGCCGTTGTTTTTCAGGCAGCACATGACGCTGCAACGAGAACGAGGCGCGTGCAAGAGACAAACACTCCAAGAGTGATGAAGACTCGTGTAGAGGCTCCGAAGATGGATGTCACTCACATTGAGGAAACTGAAGAGATCTCAAGGTGTGTCAACACAAAACTGCCCTTAAAAGATCTACGCGGAAGAACCGAAACGAATTTCATTATGAGTTATGAAATTAAAGAGCCCTGTCAGTCGTCTAAAAGTTGTGCTGGACCTTTAGCTTCCGGCTTAAAGAAACGCGTAGCTAAAAATAATTTTTTTTCAAAAAGGGCAAACTGATAACGTTGCGTTTACCTTCGAGCTAATGGTCATCATGGACTCTCTGCGAGGCTACCGTAGAAAATGAAGAAAGGACCTTAACGAATCGCACAGTACTTCCACTATAATCTTTTTTATACTCATATAATAAATTATCAAATGAACTTATATTCACTATAAAAAATGCGGAGGTTGTCGTATGAATATAGTAAATATAAATATAATATGTTTTCATTGGTGTTCAGCAAGCTAATCCACGGGCAGTTGGAATACCCTATTGTAGTCAACTCTCAAGGTCAGATGATTGTAACGATACATGGCTGCGTTTACAAAATCCCTGAAGAAATCGAGCGCATTCAATTGAATGACACGACAGAGCTCAAGGTAAATACCGTATAATACTTAATACGACAAATGTTCTAAAAGAACCGCTAAATGAACAAGGAATTTTTATTCGAAGAATTGCTCGAAGGGTTGATTGGCGCCGAAACGTTTAAGGCGTCTCGAATGCATCCTAGGCCATATGATTCTGGGTGACAAATGCATTTTTACTTCTAACAAAGAGAGGAACACTCGAAGCTAGATAGCATAACATTGAACACGATTACTAAGTTATCATGCAGGTTTCTGTTGGTTCTTGCTCCGGAAGATTAGCGCAAATAACCACTTCGTGAAAGTTAATTTGCTTCTTTTTTCCATTTTTTTATTGCGTGAATACATGCTTGCAGCATCTATTCGTAGAGTTAAAAGTTCTTGGTTTCCCAGTCACTCAGTCAGCACCGAACCGAATTTCCTGGACCTCAACGAAAATCACCAATGCTGACGCGTCTGTTTCAACTATGACGACTTCTACCGGCACTCAAGTTGTCACTATCAATGGCAATTCGTTTAACTTACCGGCCGAAAACCAACTTCTCATTAAGTACTTAGCGGAACAGCCTTCGATGACGTTCAACGTATTGGAGGTACGATAGCAGTTGTTCTATCGAATGTATCAATATATTCTATCAATATATAGATAAAAAGCATCTCGGATTATTTGTCTTTGACGTATGTTACATTTCATTCGCTTGGTTGGCCAGCTAATGTGATCTGTCACTGTATAAACGTTCTTGCCTCTTCGCGAATGTCGTTGGTACCTTTTGGTCGAAGATTACCCCCCAGACCCCATCTATCGAAAGCTAGATAAATCTAATAGCGCTTGAAGTGAAATTAATTGTGTTTATATTTTTCAGAAACTTAAAGCTCTAAATGGTCAACTGGATATAAACAAACTGGCGTCGACTAAGCGGATAGTCCATGAGACCCGGCCGACTGAGTGAGTACTTACCAAGCACACAAAATAGAATGTCGGCTTAGCATTGAAAAAATAGGGACTTAACATTTGTCTATGAATGCTTTAGAAAACCCATTGTTCTATCGCGTTCGTCTCGTTCTACGGGAGTAGTTAATGCCGACTAACCCATTAAGCTGTAACAGAGCTGATGAACAAAACGTGAGTAAATTAAAATATAATATAATTCACAGGTCTTATTAATTATTTATATTACGATATAAATCTATCAAATTCAGTTATCCGCGTGCTATTACTACTCTTATCTTCGTAACATCTAGGTATTATTATTATTATTATTAAACACTACAGCTTCTTCTTCTTTTTTTTTTTATTACACTGTCCAGAATAAAAGAAGAAGCTTTAGGTACGTCGACCGAGCACACGATTTCCACGAGTCATGAGAGTTCTATAAGCTCTATAACGCCACTCAACTACACTCAAATGCCAATAGAGGTCGTGGATGGCTCCATACAGATAACAGCCGAAGGCCAATGTTTCCGCTTCCCTGAGGATCTGCCGCGGATGTCTCAGGCTCTCACCGAGCAGCAACTGCAGGCAAGTCGATTCCACATTGAACTCAGTGTCGACACGACGTACGCATCGTATGCCTATTGCCTATCTACGTCGTTTGCGGATACGCGGAGAAGTCTTTAGCACTATTTTATCATCACCAAGTAACTTTCAGTGAGTGTTTTGCACTTCGCGAATCGTTCTGTGCCTTCCTGCGATTCGCTGTCCTGACAGCACTGACGCCCATATACAGCGCTACTGAGGATCACTAAAGCTTCTCATTGCATGCTATTTTCATTTTTCAAATGTAATGGAATGCTATCCAAGCAACAGGACATACCAGTTCGGTTCTAGGTGTTAATTGAGTCTGTCTTGCAAACATCGACAAGGTGGCTTGCTAAAGGAGTCTACCAACGATTACTATCTATGCTATATCGCCATATTGATCGCGGATTCTGCATATAAACGACCTCGAAGTACTTCCCGGCATCCTTCAACGTGATGAACTTAGATAGAGAGGGAAATCCGTAAACCGAATGATAAACGACAAATGACTGCAGGACCATTACTGCGATGCTTGAGGCTTCACACAAATCTAGAAAATAAAGCTGAATAATAGCTAGAAAAACATCTAATTTATTTATACGCCTAATATTTAGAGAATTTAATAATACAACAGGCAACTTGAAACTACTACTTTGTGTCGGCACAAGCTAAACTATACTATTTAAAATAATCAGCTACATACTTGATCATTTTCAAGCTTAATCCACAGAAATGGTAATACTGAACTTTTGCCGCAGGGCCTCGTAGAGTTGTCAATAGGACATGATCAGATCAAATTATTCTCCCTGATTAAAGCTTCCTTCACCTCTATTACGGGACAAGGCAATACCTTAAAGTTTTGCCGGAAATTCGCAGGTGTTATTCGTCACCGCACAAAATGAAGGCTTTCCTGTGAAGTTTGAGGATCATCAGATAATTTTTGATTCGGATATCATTGATAAGGGCCCACGTGTGCAAATCGACAGGACGACAACAGCCGATACAGCTGTCACCGTTATAATCAATCAACGGAAGATCGCTTTGCCCGCTGAAAGAGATGTTCTTCGGAAATATATCCAGGAAGATCAGCATGTCATCTATCACCTGCTGGAGGTAAATCTTTGATTGCGTAGTACAGTTGTTAACTTACCAAATATCATGCAAGTTAACCCAGCTCAGATAACGTGTGCGTAAGCACACTTATAGTTTCCCGTGTACAGTGCTCTTTTGTGGCCATATTGATTAGTAGACCTCGGCTTCAAGTTACAGTTACAAAAGCGAGCATGGAAACCTAATCGGGATTCAACCTAAATAATGATAACTGGTAAATCATTTCATTGCATAACACTAACGAAATGAATTTCCAGACCTTCCGAGAAAATGGAATAGAAATAGATCTGGCAACCCTTGAAATTACATTGCCTCAACAAAGGTAATAAGTTTTATGGCTGTTTAACATTTCTTATCGTAGTAGAAGTTATATATCACTATTGAGAATCTGCTCACCGACTACGGATAGTGTGACCGTCATTAATGATGTCATCTAACTATAACTTATTTTCTAAACCCTAAAATGGGTCGGTGACGGATTCCTAATCTTAGCTAGACTGTCGTATTGATAATTTTTATTGAATAATCGAAAAAAACACTTAGCTCTGACCATCGTGAAATTAACGCAGACAATGTACTTGATAATGTATAATGAAATATTAATTTGTCATGTTTCACGATATACCTTCTATACTTATTTCACCTTATTTTGGTAATTTATAATGATTTTTATTCACTAGTACCATGTCTAGTTAGCGGTCTGCTTAGCTATCAGGTTGGATTCTACAGCTGTTGTTCGTAGATGCAGCTCCTCCGTACAGGGTTAATTGATGAGCGATTTTGCATTCGTCTGAGCAGCGTTGCGTCGACAACGAATGGCCCATACGCTACTTCTTTGTTGGAAAGGAGGAATGATGCTACCGAAGAATATCCTGTTCTAGGTCCAGAAGAAGCTCCGAACTATAACGACCAGAACCAATTGTCTGAATCGCATGAGAGCGCCATGACTAACGGACAACCTTCGTTGCAGTCCACGAGGGACGGACGTATTGTGATCATTTTCGAAGGACAACGATTCACTATGCCTGACGAGCTGCCGAAAATGAACAGGGTGCTTGATGCCGAACAGGTTCAGGTAGATGCAGTCGTTTGGTAACAGCTAAATATTGAATATGGGAACATTTCGATAAGCTAAGGGCTCTATAGGAACAACATCTACGTACATCCAATGAAACTGAAATAGGACGAGCTGTCCAATGTTTTGTAATTTAGTTTGTGGAATCCAAAGTCAATGTTATTCGATTCGGCCTAGCTGCCTATAATTGGCGAAGATGTATTTAGCGATACCTCATCAAATTGACTCATGTAACCTGCTAAGCAACACTGATGCTCAAGGTTAGCAGCGTAGCGCGGCCTAATTGGAGTAATGTATTACGTGATAAAAATAACAGTGAATAACGTTATTCTAGGTAGTTACGAGCAGAAATCGTTTCGAACCCATCATTTCCTTGCTTCCAGTTATTGGGACTTTCCCCTTTACAAGCACAGCAGGATAACACATTTACATAAACAGGAGACAACAGATAAAGTAGGCATATAGCCTAGAAATGCTTGCGATGTATCAAATCTCCGGATTTCTTTTCTAGGATAGAAATGGACATGTTGGAGATAACAATTTCCCTATTGACTTACTGACATGGAGAGATCTTAGTTTGAAGAAGAAAACAAAAACGGATACTGTTATCAGTTGACTGACGAAAGCTTACCCTAGTAATAATCATACGCCGTTGTATGGACCGCATAGTTATCTGGTTTAGCAAACTGGGAGCAGCGTACCCATTTATTTGTCACAATGCACGCTAAGGCCGTAATCTGCTGATCAAACCAGCTTCGGTCATTCGATGATGTTATTTCAATGTTAACAAATGCCGATCATGCAGAATAATTTTGTTTGTCAATTACTAAGTAATGATTAAATTCATTTTACAGCTATTAGTATCCAGCCTCTCTCTTTTGGGTGTTCCAGTCCAGATGCAATCAGGCCAAATAATTATCGTTAGAAAACCTTCGATAGACTCGATCAACGTGCAACAACTTCCCGGTGACCAGGTAATATTGCAGTTGGCAAGTTGAACTCTGTTTTCCAATCGTCCTTATTGCTTGTTATCACTGAGGATATTCGTATCATACCCATTACGCTTAGTTAAGATGGCCTATGGTGCTGTGGTCTGGGTGACTAATGCGTTGAGTGTGTTACTGTGGTAAACATCACTGGTTTAACGTTGATAGATGACTTCTATGGCCCCATACTATTACCATATTGTTTTGTACTGTTGCAGAGAAGCCTAGATTCATCGAGACCCATTGACGAGTAACCGACAATCTATGAAAACAAATGTGGGATATAATACTCCGTATCCGCAATGTGACCTGCCCTTTGTAGTAGAAGCAATTTGTAGTATTACCTTTCGGTTCATATCCGGGGTGATTCACTATAGGTGAAATATAAGGCTAAGGGTGTACCATGGGTTGAAAAATTTAGATAGAAGAAAATGCCTAGTTCATATTATCGTAAAAGTTTTCGTTTACAGTGTAGGCCCTAGAAGGTTTTACTCCAAGCAGGCCAGCGGCTGCACGAAGTTGTTTGAAAATAATCCAGTTATTCTAGGTAATTCTTCTTATTTATTAATTTCCTTATTATTGTTAAATAAGTTAGCTATTTACTTGGCATCGTTAGTTCAGCTATGTGTATGTGCTAGGCATATACTGCGACATATAACATGTAGACTGTGTGTTATACCTGTCAGCGTGATTTGCAAGTATGACACACGATACACATAATCCATGTATCTTTCCGTATGTCGTACAACAATAATCAGGTAATACTGAACCAAATGAGTGTAAGATGTCCTCTAGCTGTTTTTCGACTAATACTTTATTTCTGTGTTTTTTTTTATTCGTTCGTTCGTAGGTATTAGTTCACGTCGATCAGTCGACGTATACATTGCCTCAAGAAGCAGATCGTTTGCGCCTCTTATGGGAACAACATCCTGAATACATCTACACCATCGTTTTAGTACGTTGCATGAGTTACGAGCTTTCATACTTAATAATTTATTCTTTCCTCGAGTAAAAGATGTGTTTTTACCAACGATCAGCACACCACAGGGGGTAACCTGCTTGATCACTGTGGCTCAATGATTGCCTGCCTGAATCTATTCCGCACTACCGCTACATCAATACGATTATATATATATATATATATATATATATATATATATATATATATATATATATATATATATATAGCGTGTGTTTTATATTATTATTATAACTTTGCCGCAGGCTGACGTGACAAGTAAGTGTTATTATTTCTTGTTATTAAGTATTGATCAAGGCGCCTTTTGTGGTTGAAAATTCAAGGGTCCGATCCAAACTCAGTAGCATTCATTAGAGTTTAGTTGATGCTATGGTGGCATTCATATCTACATCATACTCAGATACCGCTATTTACTGAATGATTATCGTTCACGTTAGGCCACTGTGTTCGTTTTCCTGTTTCGACTATTGGCATATCTGATGATGATTGATTTGGCAAATACCCCCGTCTTGCCAATAAGTGTACAAGTTCCGCCGTCTCTTATAATAAAGCGACGTGTTCACGCGTTCGGACGTGGATAGCTGTGATAACAACGGTAGCCGTGCGCGTCAGTCTGTTGTAGTGACTTGACTGTATATAATGACGGTTGTCTGGCGTTGCAGGGCTATCCTAGATCTGTGGTCGGTACGCCCTTGCTTTGGAACAATTATCTCACTGACCACGTTCTTCTCACGCAGGAGCTCGCCCGTACGCACTACGCATTGACCGTCCCTTCACGCGAAGTCGCCAGGTGAGTGACACTCTGTATTTATTCAATATTTTCCCAGTCATACCAATTTAGACTTTATTTAATAACAAGAATACTAAAAAGTTACTACGGTCGTCATAATTATAGGCGTGTTCTATAATGATCAATTTTTGGTCTACTTATTTTTTGCCTAAATCAAATTAGCACTTGTGTCACGGCGTCAAATCAAACACACGTTTATAAACGGATTATTTTTTTTTATATATATGCATGAAAATCCATTTTATTTGTATATACGCATCTTAGACATTTTAATTGCATCAGGGTCGTTGTCAATAACAATTTCTTGCAAGTTTTTGCTTAGAAAAAACCCGAAAGCGATTATGTTTCATAACTGTTATTTCGCTAATTAACAATTCAGTTTCGTCCTGACAATTCAGTATATTTGAACGCATACCCTCATACGAGTTGCTTACGACGCTGGATGGTCGGCTTCTTATTCGGGTACAAGGACAGGTCCTGCAAGTGCCCGATGACCTGCCAAAATTGCAGACACTTGTGAATCCTACTATGCTCATGGTACGTACAAGTAAACGGTTTACCCGAGAAAAAAATCTAACTTATAATTGCCATTAATAACAACTGTATTCCCCTTTGGGTGACTGTCAAATTTGTGTGAACTACGAAGCAATATAAAATCCTAAATAAAAAAAAAGAAATAGTAATACGTTAGCTATGCATTCGTGACCAGGCTGAAAGTTTGTATAGAATGTGTATTTATCGCGTAACTAAATAATTAATCGCCACCTACTTGACAAATGCACCTTTGGAAACCAAAAGTCGTTGTACGTGACGAATTTCATGAAAGATGTGCGTACGGCATTTTTGTTTTTCAAAACAGCTGGAGAAAAATACGCGTATCTGTGTGGAATAGGCGCAAATCTGTCTAAACTTAAGCTAACTGTACTTATATATATATATATATATTTTTTTTTTTAACTATAGTAAATTTTACATTGTCGATCTGAATACGCTGCCTAGTCAGTGAAAAAAAAGAAAGTTTGCTATTCTTCCTCAAAGTGTCTTAAAGATAGTAGTAGTAAGTGCCTCATGCGTTTCTCATACTAATTTTTCGAAATAAATTACAAATAAAGCGTTGGGGTCCATCTATGAGAGTTGGAGGCTTTTGCAGACGTGTGAACGCATCGTTCACCCGCACGGATGAAATTTCTTTTTCAGACGATTGTAACCCGGTTGCAGCAAATGGGAGTTCCAATACAAATTAGTAATAATCGAGTGGTTGTCACTAGGGAAACGTCAACGTCTTACAGGTAATCGTGATAATAACATTCTATTATTAGCATCTACGCAATCTTCTTTCGAGCTCGCACGTGTTCCTTAAGTTAAATTTCGTAAAAATCTCTAAAAAGTATCAAAATGAGTCTAATTTTTAACGAATTGCACCTGATTGGCGACGAGTGAATAGCTAAACCGGAATCGAATAGCCCCGCAAGGGCTGTTCTGTTTAGGGGAACATGTCGTCGAATTTAATCTATACTTCAGAATCGAGGTAGAGGTTCACACGCGCGGTGACCGGCTGATTTCGATAGTGATTAACATGAATGGACAAAGATTCGAATTGCCCCGTGATGCCGATAAGTTTCAACAGGTCATCAAAACCAAACCAGAGATCACCTTCCAACTCTTCAAGGTACTTCAGGTCGCATTTAGCATTCGGAACTTTTAAGCTAAACTGTCCTGGGTACACAGGGTGGGAAACAAGCTAGGCCCACAAGTATTATTAGAATTATTTTCATAAGGAAAAAGGCTACTTTAACCTTTAACTCTACTACTTGCTACTTTAACTCTAGACCCCTTTGCTTATTACGAACCTCTTTCCAAATGCAGCAATCTTTACCTTTTTTCTTCCCTTAACAACACCGAATACAGTAATAACAATATATGAAAGACATACAATTAACAAGATTTAATACTAGAATGCAGCCAACGAATATCTAGAGTGCTGACGTAAGCATTTGACCTGTTCCAGCTCCTTGCGAAATATCGCATTCCAATGGAGTTCGATCAAAAGAGCGGTATGATCTCATTTACTTTCAGTGACGATGAACCTTCATCTGAACAAAGCGACCACGCAGTGTAAGCATATATTTATCTGTCTTCAGCATATCAGTTAGAAAAGTTATAAATATATAGTTTTTTTTTTTGCTTTTTTTTTTTTTTATCTATATCCAAAAGCATGGCTATGCGTTCGTGCACCGATAATCTTTGTACAATACTCCATATTCATAGAATACAGAACGGAACGTTGTGTGGGATTAAAAAACATGAAAAAAGCAAGTAAATTCGATGCAATAAAGCAGATATATTTAATCCACAAATATATATGGCTATACTTAGAGGATCTTAGCTACCAACGGAAAATTACGTGGTGCACGTTTAACTAATTAAAGAAAATGACTGTGTAAAAGATACTGTACGTGAATCCAAGATACGCAATCATTTCTAGTGACCGCTTAAATTCGAGAGACACTGTTTCACGTATAATCATATAAATTAATATATTAGATAATACTTTTGCCGCGATCTTTCGCCTTTCAACTCCTTAGGCAATACACAATTGCGACAGAAAATGGTAAAATCATAATTCGAATCGGGGAAAAAACGTTTGAAATCCCTCGGGACCTGGAGAGCCTGACGAGAATTCTTAACCACGAACAACTTGTGGTAAGCAATATATTGAGCCAATAAATGACTAAGTAGCTGGTATTCCTGATCGAAAATCTGTTTTTGAGAAAGGCTACAGTTTGTATCGACCGATACCTAATGCCAAGGTAACACATAAGTGAGCCTTTAGATTTTGTTAATTAGAAAGATTTTGAAGTGAGGCGAGAGCTGCGCACTTAATGGATCTGTTTCTACTTTAGACAATTGTACAGGAACTGAAATCATTCGGCGCGCCCATAGAATTGCGAGGGTCCCGGCTCGTAGTCACCAGAGAGCAAACAACAAGCTATAGAATTTCACTACAGGTAAAACTCTGTAAAAAAAAAAAAAAGGAAAAAAGCCCTGACATTTAAAGTATGTTTATCAATATACCTAAATTGACCATCGAACACATTCGAACAGTTGCAACTTATTTAGGCCCAGTAACAACTTCGGTGCTTTGACCCTAAATTAGGTATAAGGCATTGTACATGTGTTGCTGCTCAGAACGTTCATCCAGCAACGTAATCTGTTTTCCATGCACGCCTTTTGGCCGGTGACCAGCGTATCCTATCGCTTATTGAGGTACAAGCTCGACACATTATTTTGATCTTATTCGCAATTTTTAGAATAAGGCAACTGCGCCTATTAGGGCTGCCGACATTGCTCGGGCGTCAGGCCCGAATCGATTCAGAGCCTAAAAATCTCGTAAACATACGTAAATGAAAGCTCAAAAGTTTAACAGCTGACAAGTTAAATCATTGAGTCTGCAGATCAGGAGCACTAGAATGCAGCACTTTTGTCTGACGAGAAACGTTAGGTATTTTTTTGGCCATAAACTGTAATAAGGTAAGCTATTAACGCCGAATACGAAATGTGCTATATGGTACTAAGTAAAGAACGTGCTTCGTTAAGAACATTGAGACTTGTCCTAGGTTACCCATTACTTGTTCCAAATGAACAAAAACTACGAGCTACACTCGATCATTTCCGGCATTTGCATTTGTTAGGGCCAACGGTGACGTTTTCAGGGGGTAGTGCTCTCGGATCCATTGCCCTAGCCAAGCAATTTGCAGGATCATTCTCCGCTTGCGTTTATATGTACATAGACAATAACGTTATATTGCATATCCTCTAAGAAATTATTGTGTGGTGCTCTGAAAGGTATTACACATTTTGTTTGATTCTTCTATTAAGGTGACAACAATGCGAGGCCAACCCATCAAAGCCATTGTTACTATTAATCAGGACAGGTACGTTAAGTATTCAGTCGTCCATATCGTTCATTTTGAGCTATGTACTCATTAGCGGCCTAGTTTTTTTTTCTTATTGACAGGTAAGTCGTCGCAGGATTAAAACTCTGATGACTCTGGAATACCTGCTGACAGATTTTATATTACAGATGTTACAATATACATTTATTAGAATGATCTTAATACTATTGAAGAAGGTAACAAAGGCAAATTTTAGAAGCAATGCTGATATTGCTGTTGCGGAAGATTTACGTACGTGCGCAGTATTTCCACATTGATCAGGATGCACTAAAACAATAGACCTATAGAAATAGAATGTTTGGTCCTCTAATTGTACATTGCAGATACCAACTACCAGCTGATGAAGACCGGTTCGAAGCGTTCTTAGCTAAGGAACCTTCTATAAATTATAAAATCTTCCAGGTTGGCCCCTGTTTCCCTTCATTTCTACTATTCGTATCAATGGCGAATTCACTGCACGTGTGTCAAGGCGTACGCCAAGCCGTTGTCTGGTGTAATTCCAATTCATATGTATATTGAAAAAGTTGATGAACATTGCTTTTTATGTCTGTAAAATTACCGAACGCTGTGACGAAACCACACATTCGAAAACTACGCAGATCCGTCTATAATTTTCTTTTGCGTATATTGCGTGATTATCGGATGGTATGTTCTATCTTGTTGTTATTGTACCTTTTACAGCTCCTGTCAAGTAAAAATATACCCATCAGCTATGATAATGAGACGCGACGCGTTCGAATCAAGTTCGCGACTCCCGCCCAGATTCAAAGGCAATTTCGTCGATCTCGCCGAATTGTGTCGTCAGGATCGCACACCTCCTCGTTATCGAAATCAATGTCAGCCTCAGTCATCTATGGGCACAACAATCAAAATATAATCCATGGATAGGGGGCACGAAATGGCTGAGATGGTTGAAGTTGGGTCAAGTACTATACATGTTCCTATAATGTCGTGTTTTTCCCTTATCAAAATAATATCGGAAGTAAAGGACGTTTCATTGAGACGGCGATAACGTGTCACATGTAGGAAAGGTTCAGCTGCTATGAAGTTTTCCACATATATTTCAGTAGTGTCTTCGTTGAAATGTATGTATGTATGTATGCCTTTGAACTAGGCCAAATATGAAATTAGCTGTTATAAAATGGAAATAAATATGGTGACGACTAAATTCTCCATTGTTCCCGCATTTTTCACTTACTCGTTGAGGCAGTGCACGATATGTACTAATTGCAGTAGTTTGGAGTTAATTTTGAAAAAATAATCTTTTAAAGTAAGATTTGCTTTGTGACAGAGAAACAAATACAAAATGTTTGTCAAAGTTTCAAAGGAGGAAACTATTTAGTTCCCGTAGTATTGCTTACATTTCCTGGATACCGAATCACACGGTCATCTTGGAAATTAGGAAAGCTCTAACCAAATAATTACTTCAAGTTCTCGCCATGCCACAGATCAAAACCGTATTCTAATCGGCACTAACGCTTCGCTCCCAAAAAAAAAAACCGTTTTTCAGTGAACTTTTCTCGTTGTGTCGAGCCGATGACCCGCCATTTGGCACGTACATTTTTCTTGTTCTGTTCACACTTTGAAATTCGATTTTACTAACGCTACTATACATATATCCAGCACGTTTTGTAAGTATTTTAGTCAACCGCTCGGAAACACTGTTACAAATGATCAAATTATTCTGGTTTGATTGATTTTTAACTTCTAGCTCACTGTAACCATGTGTGAGGCTCTATTACCTGAATAAGGGTGTGGGGGGCGTTTAAGTTTCCATAGTCTGATTACCGGATTGTACCACTGACTACCAGCTGCGTCTGTGTAGATTTTTTCAACATATGCCTCAGATTTATAATGTGTGTATTCTGTAATACCCGAAATTGCTTCGATGATTGGTAGCTTGCCTAGCAGATGTAGAGAGGTTAGTTCAGCGGTTTCAAATGTACAAACAGTAATTCTGTAGTGATCCGAACGTGGAATTAAACAGTTTCTGAAATTGTAGTTTTGGAGTTTTCGTATGTTTGCCATACATGCCTTGTCTGAAATTTTCATTTTAGCCCATGCCCATGATGCTTCTCACTTAGTTTATGTCTAGCCCAAATGTTATGTTGCGTTAACTATGTTTGCTATGGCGGGCAGCCGTGTCTATCCACTCCACGGTATCACACCGTTTGTGAAACACTGTCTACACCTGGCGGAAGGCGTCTCTTTGATTAGCGATGAATAAAAACTTATGTATTAATGATAACATACAATCTACGTCAATAGCAACCTCAACGTACCGTGAATTACTGAACAGTTGTGTAATGAGGTTTCTCGCAATATTTAGGTATATCATTATATCTTTTAGCATTCGAATATCGAACTACGGGTATTCAAACCGTCTCTTCATTCCGAAATACCTTTGACATTCTCTCTACGCAAAACGAAGGGACGGTATCGTGTCAGGCAGACATCTCCGTTGCAGGTCAGCTCTCTTTACGGTTCCATTTTAACGACTTCCAAACAATCGTCAATAAGTCATTTTGTATCGACAAACGTCGGCCAATCAATAGAGTCTAACAACGCAGCTGGAATGGGTAGGAGTGACGGCAAAGGCCCCTGTCATGATTAGCACGGCCACCGACGTTAAATGAAATGGTGGAACTTCCGAGTGGACGCATCCAAACCTATAATCGCCTCCTGTCCCGGGAATGAATTTTCTGAGATTGAGCAGTTCGTATTGGAGACGTTTCAGAAACGTCAACACCAAATGGGCTATTTGGCTTAAAAAACTCATATCAGGCGCTTCATATGGAGCATCGGGAAACAGTCTCCGCAATTTTCTTACTGTGCCTTCGAGCACGTCTTGTGTATATTGTTCGGTGTCCTCGTAGACTAAATATGCTTGCGCTGCTTGTTCTGTTAACGATCCCATAAAGTTTCCGCATGTGCCTCCCTTCTATTTAAGACTATTGGGAGAAGGATAATTGGTGGGCTTCATCAACATTTTAGGACGTCATACTCTGGGCAAATTTCGTCGTTGTTGCAAATTACTTCTTAAATTGGCTGACATGGTTCCAAATATAGTAAAGGGCCTTTACTGCAAAAAGTAACATTAGGTCCTTCAAAGAAATGTATGACTCTGTTGTCCCATAAACTAAATGTGAGGAAAATATTTACGCTCGAATTAAGTCGATCAAATGAAGCTTCAAGAATTTGAGAGGAAAACAAAACGGAGAAAAGTTATCTAAGTTCAGTCTAAACATTGCAGCGTACGCGTACGATTTCAGCTATCGCATAATTAACTTATTTGCTGTTATAGGTCCTTCGGAACTTTTATCTAATTGCTGTTTGTCCATATTTAACAAGGAAAAGTTGCGCTAACTACGTCTTTGTAACAGTTTAGCGCCGATGAATCTGTCTGACCAACTGCCCACTGTTTTGTATATAATTCCATTGCAACTTTAACGATAACAGATGAACTAATCAGCTAGTATCCGTTACATTACATTAAGCTTGAGTGTTTTTGCACTTTCTAAGCTTCATTCCACAATAAAATTATCTATAGACAGTGTAATGTATCTAAATCCTGATCTACGAGATTTTTTTTGCATCTGCTAGAAATGTCGCTCCTGATGATCATGTTTATCCGTGTTCATGATCGGCCTTCATCGTGATTAGAACTTCAATCCGGGACCTAAATCACCAATTGATCATTTTTTCTTTGATTCGATTTATTTTTCTTAACCATTGGTCAAACGATAAATGTAAACCTGTTCAGGTGTCGCTCGAACGCGCTACATACAAGGGACTTTAACGTAAACTAATGCGAATAATGATGAACTGACGGCAAGACGCAAAAGCGCAAGGGCTCAGAACAGTCAAAATGCGGAAAAAGCAAAAGGTGCTTGTCTGGACGACCTAATCGGCAACTGATAACTTTCGTTCCGAGATGACCATTAATTTCTGTATCAAAAACCTAGGTGTATCAACACTAGTTTTCTAAGCCGTTTTAATAATTTTTGAGTCTTTTAACTCGAAAGCGTTTTGAAGATCTTCTGGTTTGTTCCACGGTGGTGTTCCTTGGATTTTTTAGAAGCATCATCAAGATTGTCCAGTGTGGACAAAGTTCTTAGTTTGACAGAAACTCATCCAACGCCGAAAATGATACATTGATTTTTCCATAGTCAGTTCACGGTTTTATTTAAAGAAAAAAGGAAGCTGGCTTTTTTCTAGGAAACGGGCGAAGCTATGCCCGCTACGATAAACAGCCAACCGAAATCCATTGAAACTGGAACGGTTCATTCTAGCCTATTTATAGATAAATACAAAAATCACGATACAGTTACCTTATGCAGTAAGTATTACATAAGGTTCCGAGCTTCTCTTATGTATTAAATTTTGTTATATAACGCAGAATAAAAAGAAATATCTCTGTTCAAACGCTTTCTAACATGTTTGGTATTCGAATCTAACACTAGGCGCGAGCGAACTCGGAACATGTCAATGCACGGAGGTACATTAAAAGCTTCTTGTCGTAGATGACTTTAAATAGTTATCGTCTAGTTTATACCTCGAGTGTCAATAAAGTTACCTATTTAGGCTGAATGTAAAGTTGGCGAGAAGTGATAAGCACACAATTTTCAGACTGTTATGAAACAACAATGCAAAAATCGTAAAGTGATATTTCCGTATTTTAACGGCGCTCTCAATAGTTCATTATGCGCGGAGGCTTGACGGTATCGTCACGACATCTTCTCGTTTGCTGCATATTTGGTTGACCATTAGATACAAGACCGATACCTTTAGCGACAGTCTCTGCCAGGTGAGGGAGAACAGACTATTTATCAGCAGCCGTGCGTGTGGAGGAAGAGTGACCACCGGTCATCTTAAATTGAAGCTTGTTTAGTGTAACTGCAGTCCAACAAGCAAATGTCTAACGTCTCAACACTTGACAGACCTACGTAGCCAGATGATGGTTGCTGCAAGGCTCGTTCGAATTAAAGGAAATCATAAATGTTCATTTTTAATTTAATCTTCCATAAGTAAGTAAACATGACGTCATGGTGTCGTTAAAGTTGAACGGTCACGATTAGACTTATCTGGGCTTCGTCACAAGCTTGAGAACTACTGTGACATTAATGATGCTGGTTAGCCGACTTTTGTCAACTGAACCATGTTGAAAAGTCTGACAGAGACCAAAATGCACACTTTCATTTACCATTAAACGAAACCGTACGAAGTTATTTCGTGTTAAGAGCTGCTCACGGCGCACGCCAGCATCTCTTAAAATAGCGAAAATCATACCACGTTATCCGATTTGCGGGCACTGTCGATGGAAGACAAAAATATAAGATCAGGTGGGCGATTTGAGGCTCTAGTAGCCTTTCTATGGTATTCTAGATTTCATTTATTCAAGTGACGAGTATTGTACAAGTATTATACACATATTCGTAATTACTTTTTGACACGTTTACAAAAGTTGACACATCGACACTTCGCTATCGAAGAAATCTGCTACGCTATAAAAGTGTTTCTTGTTATCTTCAGAAACGCCTGGAGAAACGAAATAAAGATGCAACGGCTACATATGCCGTAACTCGTCGTCGGCCCCCCGAACGACGATTCGGAGGAAAAACAGTATCATTTCCGGAACATGGGACATAGATTGCTTACTGCCATCAAAATCAGGTAAAGGCTGTCTGAGAACAGCCTTTACCTGATAATACCCATAAGTCGTATATAAAACCGTAACGTCATTAAATTCTAAGGAGTAATCGTCATTTCAAGTTGCAACAGTGATAATGCATATGGCTACATATACGGTCATGTTTTTCTAAGCTCATTGCGCACGCAGCCTGATACTAGTCATCACGGGGTGCTAAAATATGTATGTATTTGATGAAGTATTTCGTAGGATTCCGTGCATCCGGTAGCCCATTTAGGCCACGTGCTAAAGGGAAATTAATCATATATTTGCCATATTTAGACTCATGCGTTTTAAACGTTGCTTAATGTTGGCGGGGATATGATGAAAAATCGATAGCCGCACCTTATTGTTTACTCGAGTAACCTCATGTCATGTTCGCCTGACTGTCGTCGTGCAGAACACCAGGAGGCAGGTAAATGTTAGATTAGATGTTTCGAGTTTTACGAGACAAAGCATGTACGTTCAGATTCGAACCTAGAACCTGTGTCCCGGTTAA